AAGAAACTAAACATTTTATGGGATATATTTAAAAAATTTATTTATTTTTTATTTTTCAAAAAATCCTTTATAAAAAATATTAAAACTTTTAATGAATATAATAGAATGAAAGCTTATGATTTATAAAAACAATCTATACGTCATTATGCAGTTAGTCTAGCATATAATTTTTCGGCAAATGTGTATTCGTTTATTTGATTTTACATCCGTTAAAAAGCTTTAATTATTTTTACATAATGAATAATTTTATTTTTAATTAAATTTAATTAAAAATATAAATTTAGAAAATAAACAAAATTTAAAAAAAAATAAAGTAATAAAAATAATTATAATAGAACAAGAAAAAAGTAAGGTTAAAGAACTCGTGTAAGAAAGAAACAAGATGAGAAAAATCAACGGTGAACGACATGGATAAGATTGAAGAACAAAAATCATAGCTTAAAAATGTAAGATAAAGAAATTACAAAACATTCCAACTTGAAATTTCTCTTGCAGTCTATAGAGGTATCTAGTGCTGTATAACCCAAAGAAAGCTTAAAGGCAGTTTTGTCAAAATTTGTAAGAATGTTAAGAAACGGCCGCAATTTGAAATCCAAAGTTTATAACATGAAATTTAATAAAAACGAAGGTATAAGATTAAAAAAGAAATGAGCACATATAACCTTATTGGAGACAAAAACTAGTCTTTGTCTAGTAGAAAATTTAAAAATCATAGGAAAAGAATTAAAACTTTGATAAACCTAGTTAAATTAGTAAAACAAAAAAGAAGAACAATAACTAGGAATAAAGATAAGAAAGTTAGCGTTATTTAATTTAAAAGAAAGAAACGCAGAGGATTATGATCAGTTTTATTAAAATACTGGGCAATCTAGTAAACTTTTTTTTAATTGTGCAAGAGGGAAGACGAACCCTTGCATAGGGAATAGAGAGACTTGGGACTTTGATTTTTGTCAAACTGGTACTGTGAAATTCTTACTTACCAAAGCTTACATTTTTTTAAACTTGCCGGAGTAGCAAGCTTCGCCGTATCAAATGGAATTTGACTCCATGAGAATCTGTTACTATTTATATCTATATCCTGTCCAGAATAGTTAACAGCAGTATAACTATCGGGCATGATTTGAATAACCCAAAGAGAGGCATTATCGTACTTGCATCAAATGCTTCTACCATCATCTGTATTTTTATGCATATGTTCTTACACCGCTACATCTCCAGCCTGAAATTTTTATAAACTGCGTTTACCACCCATCTTTCATCAGTTTCAGCCAGTGTGCTACAAAATACTGTAGAATAGAGTTTATGAGACCTTCCTGATTTACTTCGTCTAGTCCCTTATTTAGCTCGAAGGATTCTATCCGAGAGTGCACTAGCCAAGGCCTTAAATCTTTGCGATTTCTATTTCGTTTTAAGTACTTGCGTACCTTTTTTATAGGTAAAATTTAATTAATATTATTTCTAGCCTTAAAGTGCGCTCTTAAACTAGATTTTAATCCCCTTGAGACAGGACGGCGCCCAAGTTTTATTGAACCAATTTAATGATTTCTCGCTAACACATTTCATTATTTTGAAAGATCAAACACACCTTCGACATATGAACAAGAGGTGCTGCTCATCGGGAATCGAAAATATAATTTTTTTAATATTTGACGTGAGTTTATATGATGGCATTTATCCTAAAATATTTCTTTAACACACTAGTATAAGGGTGTGTGGTGGAGCCACAGTTGTAATAGGTCAATTTTTTCTTTTAAGTTTTGTAGTAGGCCGAAAGGAATTGTTTTTACTGAAAAAACTTTATTTAGAAAATTGTTTAATAGTTTTACTACTTCAAAGTCATTATTCATCATTAAAAACGTCTAGTATTATTACGCGTTGATGAGCTCTATATAACTCGGCTAATAATAAATTTAAATTTTTCACAGTCTTTCAACCATCCTGTGGTAATATACCACAATATTTTTTCAAAATCTCTTCGTGTAAATGTCCATTTTTGCAAAATAAAATTCTATCTTTTATATACAAAAACGTTTTCTATACTATGGTGACCGATAAAAGGGTTGTTAAAATGTAAGTTACTGCTACTAGGAACATTCTTATTTATAACTAGCCTACTCTATCCCGTTTGAAACGGGATTATATATAAATAAAATTCTTATTTTTCATTGTTTAACAAGTCCTTAGGCTTGTGCGCATTGTTTAAAGTACAAAATGTCTTACATTGTAAAGTAAAATTTGCAATTACAAAAAATTGAAAAAAAATAAAGAAAAATACAAAAAAATCTATACCTATAATATCCTTTCAGTAACAATTCTTAAAAATCCCTAAGTTGTATTTTAGTGCTTTTAAAGGAAAAACTAAAACAGAATTTAAAAATTTAAAAAAAGAAGGGTTAAAAAATAAAAAAATGTTTATATTCAAACTTTTTATATATATAGACTAGCTAACGCTATCCCGTTTAAAACGGGATTATAAATAACTAATATTTTTATTTTTCATTGTGTAACATATCTTTAGGCTTGTGCGCATTGTTTAAAGTATAAAATGTCTTACATTGTAAAGTTCAATTGCAATTACAAAAAATTGAAAAAAAATAAAGAAAAATACACAAAAATCTATACCTATAATATCCCTTTAGTAACAATTTTATAAAAATCCCTAAGTTGTATTTTAGTGCTTTTAAAGGAAAAATTAAAACAGAATTTAAAAATTTAAAAAAAGAAGGGTTAAAAAATAAATAAATGTTAAGATTCAAACTTTTTATATATATTGACCAGTTGATTTTGAATTGTAAAGTTGATCTTGTAATGCTTTAATTGTTTCAATAATGTATAAAAGTATTATAATAGCAGCCAACTCTATTAAATAATGAAATTAAAATGTACAAATTTAATTTATTTATAATGCACCTTTTAGACAACTAAAATATATAGAATGTAATATTTGATAGCATTAAGTAACATTAATAATGTTTAATTATAAATTTATTGTTTTTATTATAACTATATTTTTTACAAAAATAAAAATAAATTTTGCAAATTTTAAAAAAAGAAGGGTTAAAAAATAAATAAATGTTCAGATTCAAACTTTTTATATATATTGATGATGATGACTAGCCTACGCTGTTGTCCCATTTAAAACGGGACTACGAATACGATACATGCTTTTTGTATAAATTATGTGTACATGTCTTTGTTTATGTGTGTATCGTTTTTAATTTGATAATTTATTTTTTAAATAAATAAATTCAGTAATGACGCACATTTTACAATTTGAACAATTGAATGAAACTTAAAAAAATATATTTAAAATATTAAGCTGTCCATTATAAAGATAGCTATAAAAAATTGTTATTTCTTTAAAAAAACATTTCTCATAATTTTTAAAACAGAAGGGTTAGAACTTAAATACATGTTTAAATTCAAACTTTTTATATATATAGATGATGATGATTGATATTATATGTATGAAGAATACAAAGATTTTGCTTTTTAAAATGTTAAATAATTTTTATTCAGCTTTTTTTTGATAAAAATTTACCCTTTAAAATGGATAAGATTTTATTTAAAGGACTAGATCTCAAACAAAAACCTAAGAAACCAAGATCATACAAAATATTAAATTTTTCTGGTCACATCCCCTCAAAATTGTTTGATAAAGAGTATCAAAATATCATTTATACTTTTTTGAAATCTAAAACAAATGTATTGATAGAAAATTATTTATTTTTTGATAGGATTGTAAACACAATAGAAACACTAAAATTTTGTCATTACAAAAATGTATTAATACTTTCTAACAGTAAATATAATACTTCTTATACAGTAAAAAGACCATATGATAGCATTAATTTTACTGATTATTTCTATGTTGTTATGGATGATTGTTTTTTAGAATGTAACGTTCCTTTTATTATATTAAAAACCAATATAACTAATGTTTTTAATATCCCTACAATAAAGTTTATTTACAGACACAGGTTTATTAATGGAACGAAAAACAAACTTAAGCATCTTGTTCTTGATCAATTAGTAAATGATGTAAATGAAACATTAATATACACCAAAGATAAAACATTACTAGCAAGTAGATATAAAAACTTTAAATTTGTTAATGAAGATAGTACAATTTTTAAATGTAAAACATTTATTTTTTACGATCTTTTTGAAGATGTAAATGACATTTTAGAGAAAATCGAATGGTGCGACGCTCTTACAATTTTTACAATTTACGTTACAGAAGAAAAAGAAGAAGTCAAGGCATATATTAGTAAAATACAAAAATATGTAACAATAGATAAAGAAATACTAGAGTTTATTAATAAAGAATGAAAATAGTACATGACAATTTACTTTGTTTATTTTACAAAGATGATAATCGTATTTGATTGCATTTAAAAAAATAAAAATAGTACATGACCTTTCTTCTGTTTTTTTAAAAGGATTATAACTGTATATGTTGTTGCTATTATTACGGAAAGAACATTTAAAAAATCTTATTAAGATATTGTTTAATAAATAAAAATTAGTTAATACGAAATGATTGACACATTGTATCTTATGTAAAGTAATATATAATGCAAATTTCATAAAAAATTAATATTCTATATTTTTTACTATAAAATATTATTTTTGTAGCTATTTCTTCAATGTTTTTTAGATAAAAAATCTATCAAGATTTTTTAGAGTCAAAAGTTGGATGTATGTACACTTCAATTTATCATTTTTAGATCTTTTCTGTATTTGCATTATATTTCGTTATTTACTAAATTTAATTCAATTTTTGCTACAATTTTTTTATTTTCAAACCTACAAAATACATTTATTACCCCTTTAATATTTATTGGTTACTTTTAATAGAAATATTTTCACTTGTAGTTTTTAATGTTTGTACTTCAAAAGATTCCTTTTCCTCTGTCAGTTACTGCAATATTACTTTTTAATACATACATATCTTTAAGAACAAAAACAGATATACAACTACCTGAAAATATCTCAAATAGAATATTTTTATATGTAAATATAATCACATTATCATATTATATCATCTTTTTGATATTAATTTTTTACTTTATTAATTATCTTTCATATTTTAATCTAATTTATATTTTATATGCCTTATATTGCTTTTATAAATCAGAAGGAATGTATGAGAGGATATGTATAGTATTAAGTCTTGTACATGTCATGTACAATTTATATAAATTAACTAATAGTAAAAATACCAATGAAGATAATATAGTTACACTAGATACACATTATATAAAAGTAAATTTAAGTTTTTTTATCTTTGAAGTATTAGATTACTTTTCTTTAATTAAAATTGATAGTGGATGGAAATCAATAAGAAAAGCATTAATATTTTTAGCCTCAAAATCTACAAAATTAGTACCGATATTATTAGTAACTAATGTAATAATACAAATACAATGTAAATTATACAGTAATTTTTATACAGATGTTCTATTAGAGTGGATATTTGCATTTTTAATTTATCTACTAATTATAAATTACTTTATTCATATGTCAATTTATGCATGTAAAAATCTTATAGTATCAGATAGAACTTACAAGATAGAAATGTGTTTAGCAAATATTATGATATCACTTTTTAATTATGTTTATATTTTAGAAAGAAAAAATAAGAAAAATATAGAAATTTCTAATATCTTAATTCTTATGGGATATTTTTATATGTTAATTATAAATAGAATATATAGTAATATTATTTATAATGATTATATTAGAAATAGTATATTATTTTATAGTAGTACTATAATATTCTCATTAAGTGTGATTTGTATATCCTTGTCGCTGATTGAACTTAAAGAGATGTAGATAGAAGATTTTATAACAATATATCAAACTTTTAAATTAAATTAAGTAAATTGAATATTGTAAACATATAAAATAAGGTTATTTAATTAAATAAATAAAATAAAATAAAGTAAATAAACAAATTACATATTTAAGTAAACAAAACAATTTAAGCCCATTTTTAATAAATCAAATTTTATTTAACATTGATTATTTTTTCTCCTTTTTTAATAAACTTAGAGTTAAATACAAAAATTATTTATGGTTAATGATTTAAATATAATTTTATGTTTTTACAGAAATATCATTTTCTTGTGATTTAAAATCATTATATTAATTTTTTATTAATTTACATTTTATGCTAATTTATCTTTTTATATTTTATTTGTTAGTTTTACAATTAAATATTTTAAAACATTAATTTTTAATTTAAAAACAAACAAAATTTAGGCCATATGAAAACATTAAATACAACTCTAAGTATAATCTTAGCATCAATAAATAGTGTGATTTTAGGATTATCACTCACATCATTCATCTTTATAAAAACAAAAGCAGAATCAATTTTTACTGGAAATTCATATATATCATTTAATAATATCAGTTCTATTGCTGTATCTAATATATTTTTAGGAGGACTGTTTTTCAATTGTTTTAATACAATAAAAAATGAAAAGAGGCTTATTATTTCTAGTACACTTAGTGCCTTTATAGGATATTTATTTATAAACTTGTATCCTAACATTTATGTAATATTCTTTTCTAGGATTATTATTGGAATAGGATGTGGGTGTACTTGTTATGTAGTACCACAGTATATTTATACTATAGCACCAGATTCAATAAAAGCACTGTTGTGTAGTCTACATCCTATAAATCTAAATTTAGGAATTTTAATAGGACAAAGTTTAATTAAATTTGATACAGTTGATTATTACGCAATAACACATTCAATTCTAGTACTAGCACTTTTACTACTTGTATTTTTACAAATATTTATAGTAGATACTAAAAAAGATGATGGAGAAATAGTACCTATTAGTGAACTAATCAGTGTGCGTAGATCTTATAAAAGTATAATAATTGTGTCTTTACTCCACATGTCTCAACATCTAAGTGGTGTAGACTATGTATCAATATATTTACCAGAAATATTAAAAAATGATTATATTAAGATTGTATCAGTATATTCTATAACTATACCATCTTCTTTAATAAGTAGTCTATTACTAAATAAATATGGTAGGAAATATTTATATGTTATTAGCGCAGGATTGTTATGTATGTGTTCAGTACTAATAATGAACTATAAAGTATTAGGATTAATACTATTTTTATTTTCTTACAATGTAGGAGTGAGCACTGTACCATGGATAATACCGAATGAGTGTACACCACCAAGGTATATATCTCCTATTACTAGGCTTGGAATTATTAGTAACTGGGGATCCGCGTATATTTTATTGATTGTTTTTAAGAAAGCTCATGAAATTTTAAATGATTGTACTTTCTTGATCTATAGTGCTTTAATGTTTTTTATGGTTATATTTACTTTACTTTATGTGCCAGAGACAAAAAATAATTCAGAATTTTTATAATAAAAAAGTTATATTGATTTTTTAAAAGTTAGTTAAGTTTATTTTTACAATAAAAAAGTTATATTGATTTTTTAAAAAATAATTCAGAATTTTTGCAGTAAAAAAGTTATATTGAATTTTTATACAAAACGTTGTGTTAATTTTTTTAATAAGAAAATGATTTGGCTTGTATAAATTTTTTGCTGCAACAATATAATAATTTATGTAAATATATATTTAATTGTAATTAATTGACACAAAATATGAAAGGTTGACGCACAGGAAGGAATTTTGTTAATTGGCATTATATCAAAAATTTATTCTATTAACGCAGTACATAAAAAACACTCACTTTATTATTTCGTTTTTTTTAAATTTATTAAAGGCAAAACATTAAAAATAAAAAGTTCTCATCTGATTTAGAATATTTTTACTTTTTTAGTCTCAAAAAATAATTTATACAATATATTTACTTATATCGCTTGTTATTTTAAATAAACTATATTAAGATAATAAATTTGTTTTGTTTTTTAATTTTATTCCACATATCGTAAGTCTTATCATCACATTTTTTAACACAAAGATTTATAAATTTATACTGGTCTACAGTTATTAATATTCTATTTTTATAACAGTAAATAATTAATAAAAGATCATATGTAATTTTATTGTCTTTAAGTTCATCAAGAAGCATATGTAATGTTTTTAAAATAAATTTATAATTATTGAGTGTACAGTTATTATTGTCTTGATTATTGATCTTATTTGACTGTCTCATTTGTGGGTTAAAAATATAGTACTTTTAATTGGCATTGTATAAAAAATACTATTTGTAAATAAGCATGTTAAACAATAGTATTAAGATGATAATCCCGATTTGAATGCTTTATAAATAATTATATTAAAATACCTATGTTTTATCCCAAAACTTTTTAAACTGGTTGTGTCTTAAAAGATATATAAGATTATCTATTGAATACAAGTAAACTATATAAGTCTATGAATAAAAAATTATAAACTTTTATATATCAGTTTATGTTTAAAAAATTATTAACTCTTAAAAAACTTTTTTTATCCCCCTTTATATTTCATATGAAAAGCTTTATCTTTACTTCTGAATCTGTTGGTGAAGGCCATCCAGATAAAATATGTGATTTAATCTCTGACAGTATTTTAGATAAATGTTTAGAGCAAGATCCGTTAAGCAGAGTTGCTGTTGATGTATGTGTAAAAAGTAATTTGGTTGTTTTAGTAGGGGAGATTACTACTAAAGCCACAGTTGATTATGAATATGTAGCTAGACAAGTATTATTAGATATTGGTTATACATCTGAAGATATTGGTATTAACGGTAATACTTGTAAAATTTTAGTTTGTATAGAAAAACAGAGTCCTGATATCAGTCAAGGATTAGAAAGAAATACTGGTAATCCTTACGATCTTGGCGCAGGAGACCAAGGGATTATGTTTGGATATGCGACAGATGAAACAGAAGAAAGAATGCCTCTTACAGTTGTACTGAGTCATAAACTGGCAGAAAGAATTGAATTTTTACGTAAAACGCAGGCAGATTTTTTACGACCGGATTGTAAAACACAAGTAACGGTTGAATATGAAATTCGAAGTGATAACGGTTTGAAGCCTAAAAGAGTGCATACAATAGTAATAAGTGCGCAGCACACTGAAGGTGTTAATATTGACTTTTTAAGAGCATACATTAAAGAGAATGTTATATCTGCTGTTATACCTACAGAAATGTTAGATGAAAATACCATTTTCCACATAAATCCTTCTAATAAATTTGTTATAGGAGGGCCAGAAGGTGATTCGGGACTTACAGGTAGAAAAATTATTGTTGATACATATGGAGGATGGGGTGCTCATGGAGGCGGGGCATTTAGTGGTAAAGACTGGTCTAAAGTAGATCGTAGTGGTGCTTATGCTTGTAGGTGGATTGCTAAATCTTTAGTAGATAATAAATTGTGTAAAAGATGCTTATTACAGGTTAGTTATGCGATTGGCATCCCAGATCCTCTTTCTATTTTTGTAGACACTTTCAACACGTCAGAATATTCTAATGAAGAGATTTTAGAAATTATTTATAAAAATTTTAGTTTACGGTTAGGAGACATTGTTAAAGAATTGGAGCTTTACAAACCGATTTATAAAAAAACTGCAAAATATGGACATTTTGGTAAAATAGACTGTTCTTGGGAGAAATCAAAGAAATTAAATTAATAAAAATATTTTATTTATGTTTTTATGTTAAAAAATGTATATTTTTGGTTTTAATATTAAAGAAAATACTATTCTAGTTTTTTTAAAAAAATATACCATATTAGTGTTTATTAAAAACGTTTCGTCTTAGTTTTTTTTTTAAAATAATTTATTTACGTTCTTATATTAAAAAATATTTTATAAAAGTTTTGTCATTTATTTTAATAATCTTCTTTTTTATGATATCTTATTATTCCAGTTTTATCAAATATTTTCCTTACCTTATATTTCTCATACACTTTATTACTTGCATTAATGTCTATTAAATATCCTTCCCCATCATTTTGACATTCTTCTATAACACATCCTAACATTAAATTTATACAATTAGGATATTTACTATTTACTCCAAATACAAGATCATAGTTTTCAATGTATTCTTCACTTAAATTTACACACACCTTGTTACTTACAATATTTTCTTTAAAATTATTGTAAAAAATAAATTTATAAGGCTGCACTTCAATATCTTCTTTACCTTCTTGTATACCTACACTATAGCCTTTAACAAGTAATAGTCTTCCAAGAATGTACCCAATACAATTATAAAGTGTATTTGTACCTAATTTTATCATAATTTCCTTACTAGAAATACGACTTTTTAAGACCTTAAAAATAGAAAGCGAGACAGAAGTACAAAATTCTTCTTTAGTAGGTCCATACAGTGTAAAACAGTCATTAAGAAATGAATAATATTGTGATAAGGAAATTATACCTATAGAGGGTATAAGTTGCGGAGTTATATTTAGTAGATTTGTATTAGCCTGTATAGTACATTCTTCTGTACTAATATTTATTTGTTCTATACATTCTTCTTTTCTATTGTCTTTTTGTTCTTTTAACATTTCTTTACTAACACTAGTTTGTTCTTTACTATTGTCTACTTGTTCTTTTAACACTTCTTTACATTTTTCTTCTTTTAATTCACAAATTTCTAAATCACTTATGTCACCAATATCAACTACTTCTTCCTTATCATCACTTTTTATAATAACTTCTTCTCTATCACTGTTCCAACACTTTAAGGTTCCAATGACTTCTTTGTCATGAATTCGAAACTTCATTCTGTAACCAACAAAATCTTCCATTGGGGATATAAAAATATAAATGCATAAAATAAAATGAAATTTACAACTAATCTAATTTTTGTAATTTTATAGATCTACAACTTAGTAAATATCTATACCTTTTAATATAACACAATTAGATATTTTAAATAGCCTTATAAATACTATAAATTATATTTTTTTGTATTAATTTATAAATAGATGTTTTCACTACTACTTTATTCCTTTAATGCTGTGATTTGTAAATCAAAGACTTGGGCTTTTTACTTAACATATTTTCTTTGTATTTAACTATATTATAATTTTAATCTTATTCTAAATCCTTAAATGTTTATGATTTAATTAAATAACATGAGATTTGTATAAATAACATTAAGTTTTATCTTAAGGCGAATTATTGGGTCATTTACAATCACTAGTAGCAATATTCTTAAAATTCTATTAGAAATGTTAAATCTTATAAATATCTTTATCAAATATTTATCTTTGTTATTTATGCACTAAACTTATTATTGTTTTACTCCTTACATTTATGGAGAAGAAAAGGAAGTGTTTGCAAGAAATAACAAATACAAGAAAAAATAATGAAATAGAATACGGATATGTGGTGGATGACGAAGAGATAATAAACCTTGATCTTATAGAAGGTGATGAAGATAGTGGGTTCTATCAAGATTTTTATATTCCTATCAGTAAATATTAAATATTATGTTATTTCTCATTATCTTTTAAAAATACTCCCTTATGAAGAACAATAAGTCTATAAAAAATAATAAAAATATAAATCAAGATACTATTGTACAACACATACAAGACTTAGAGAATGAAGAAAGTTTTATAAATGCTGTATACAGAAGTAAAGGGACTTCTGATAGTAGTGATATTGAATTTTTAGATTGTATTCGATCTCTTGATAGCGATAATATAATCGAGAAAGCTGATAATTTTATTAAAAGTAGAGATGACGATGATGACATTGAAATTATAACTGAAAATAATAAAAATTATAATAATGTAAAAATTATGAAAAAAAATATAGATGACATTTCTTACAACTTAAATTCCTTTGATATTCACGAGGAAGATTTTACACGTGACGATGTAAAAATTATGAAAAAAAATATAGATGGCATTTCTGACAACTTAAATTCCTTTGATATTCACGAGGAAGATTTGACACGCGATGATGTAAAAATTATGAAAAAAAATATAGATGACATTTCTTACAACTTTAATTCCTTTGATATTGACGAAGAAGATCTTTTTATGTCTTCTCCCTATACAGAGGTTATGACACCACAACTCGATATTTTACGAAATGTTTTTAAGTTAGAAAAATTTCGTACGAATCAGGAGTCTATTATAAAATCAATTCTAGAAAAAAAAGATGTATTTGTATTAATGCCTACTGGTGGCGGAAAATCTTTATGTTATCAAATACCCGCTCTAATAGACAATGGGGTTACTATTATTATCAGCCCACTACTTTCACTGGTACATGATCAAATATCTAATTTATTAAATAACAACATTTTAGCCTTACCTTTTAATTCTACACTAAATGCATCAGAAAGGCGTATGGTTCTAGAAAATATGACTTTAGGGGTAGTTAAAATGTTTTATGTAACTCCTGAATCCTTATGTGCCAATTATAATTTAGAAAGTAAACTTAAAGAACTACTTCGTATGAATAAACTTAGTAGGTTTGTTGTTGATGAAGCACATTGTGTCAGTCAGTGGGGGCATGACTTTAGGCCGGATTATATTGAAATGAAAAAAATCAAAGAAATGTATCCATCAGTGCCTATAGTAGCACTTACAGCTACCGCTACACCAAAAGTAGAGCTTGATATTATGTCTAATTTACAAATTAGAGACGCCGTTGTCTATAAGCAGAGTTTTAATCGTGAAAACCTTAAATATTTTGTAAAACCCAAAACACGATCAGTAGAGCTAGACATAGTCACATTTATACAGTCGCATTATCAAAATGAATGTGGTATTATTTATTGTACTAGCAAAAAAGAATGCGAAATGATCTCCGATAAATTAAATAAACACTTAAAAACTGCTTTTTATCACGCGGGTCTTACAAAAAAAGAACGGATGTCTATACAAAGTATGTGGAATGATAATAGATTTAAGATTATAGTAGCTACAATAGCCTTTGGTATGGGTATTGATAAGAAAGACGTTAGATTCGTTATTCACTACAGTATGCCTAAAAGTCTAGAAGGATACTACCAGGAAACTGGAAGAGCTGGTAGAGATGGTAAGGAAAGTGTATGTATATTATATTATCATTACGGAGATAAAAAAAAACTGGATTATATGATAAATATGACAAAAGATACTGCACAAAAACAGAGACAACGTGAAGAACTTAGGGATGTTATAAGATTCTGCGAGAATAAAGTTGACTGCAGAAGAACATTAATTTTAACGTATTTCAACGAAGAATTTAATAGTAAATTGTGTAAAAAAGGATGTGATAACTGTATGATTAAAAATATTGTTAAAAAAGATTACACAAAAGAAGCTAAAGAAATATATGAGTTAGTACGACATAAACTTAGTATTCATCAGATAATAGATGTTTATCGAGGCATAGGCAGTAAAAAGGTAGGTTCGCCTTTTGCAGGCAAAGGTAAACATCTTAAAAAACTTGAAGTAGAACGAATTGTTACTCAAATGATAGTACAAGGATATTTAGAAGAACGAAGTGAAATTAATGGAATGGGTTACACATGGGCGTATCTTGTACATAAAAAAAAGATTGATAAATTTGAACTATTTGAAGAAAGCGAAAAAAGCGTGTCGATTGGTGCATCAAAAGATACTTTAAATGAAAAAATAGAAAATAAAACATCGAGATGTAAAAAACATAAACGAACAGTTAACAAAGAAATTTAAAACATAGAAAAAGAACATTTACAAAAATGTGATAGTAAAACACAACTTTATGTTAGTTGTTGTTAGACATATTTATAATAAAAAATATATTTTATAAGTAAATTTCTTTTATATTATCTGATATTTCTTTAAAAAAGGAATCTAATTTGACATGATTTTTAGGAATCGGCAGTATCTTAAAGTAGTTTTTTAGCACACAAATTGTGTCTGGGTTAAAGTGAGTCATTTAATCAAGATAAAGTGCGTTTTTAGGTATTCTAGAATTCTGCTTGAAGCATAGCAAATTTTTTAAAGATAATAATTTATTTTAATTTTTTCTACTAAGCTTTTTACTTCTTTATACACACCAATTATATATTATTTATTTCCTGATCATGTTCCACCTTAATACATACCAATTGTGATTACATAACCCGGTTCGTTTGGTAAAGTTATCTACAATTTGTCTCAACAAAAATTCGTAAAAAAAATTAGTTTATCAAAATGTTAAAAAATTTTTCGTAAGTTTAAAATCATGTATTTAAATTTTTCAAGTATAAGAATGTTACTTTTTTATAAATTAAATAGATTTTAAGATAAAATTTATTAGCTGTTTGTTATTTTTAAAAAACACACTTATTTTATTTAATTTAGCTCCTTTTCTGTTCTAAAATTACAGTAATTTAATTAAAAAATTTATACAAGACAAGCAAAAGATTATTAAAATTCATTTATATTTTGTACTGGTTACTTCTATAAAAATGTTGATTGTAAATTTTCCACACTTGCACTTTCATGCAATAACCACAAAAATATTTAGTTATAAATATTATCTTTGCAATAATAATTTATTAACTTGTTATAGTTAAACTAAATTTGATTTGTTTGAATGTGTTAGATTTTGAAATCGAATTTTTATCATTAAATTAAAATTACAATTAAAAAAACAAAATTAAAATAAAAAATAAATGTGGAAATAGATCTTCTAAATCTAATAATGTGAAACGTAACTAAAAATTTCCTAAAAGAAAGAATTTTGTTTTTCAGCAAAGTTTGAATATTAAGTAAATGGATATTTTAAGTAAATTAATTTACTGAAAGCAAAATAAACATACTTTATTTTGCAAAATTCATAAAAAAATTAAATGTTGTTATTAATGTTCTAACAGTCTTTAATAAATAAAATTATTATTTTAGATTAAAGACGCAAAAATAGTTACATTAAAAAAAAAGACTGTTTAAAAATGTTAAAAGGTAAATTATTAAAAGGATGTTAAACAGAGATCATTAAGTTCACGGGGATTAAAATATTAAAATATCGCTACAACCTATAATTGTTTTTATTTCAGTGCCACATTAGTAAAGATGATATTTTAACAAATTAATATTTAAAGTATGTACAATCTATTGTAAAATAACATGTGTGTACTTTTCAATTTTTTCATACTAAGCATTTCAATTCTAAAATAAATGTATAGCATTAAAATGACAAAATTTACATATAGGATCAAGCTAAATGTCGATTTTTGGTATTTTTAATACAATCAAAAATTTTAAATTTTAATCTTTAAAAATGATAAAATAGAAAGAACGTAAAAATTTGATATAATTGACAGAAAGAATGTAAAAAAATAAAAATTGCATAAAATATGGATATTTTTATAAACCATTTAAGCAAAAAAAACAACTAGTGGTACTTTTTTGCTTGTAAAAAAAGATTTTATTGTTATTAAAGACTTTATTTCTAAAGATAATCACCAAAATCCTTAATTTATGGTTTAATTATGTGTCAATATATATTTAATAGAAAGAATATTAAATGTGTCTAAGTCAACTTTTAGCATAATTTTAAAAAATTAGAAAGTTTAACGCTTTTAATAAATATATCTAAATAATAATGTTAAAATGTTGGGGGTCTTAATTCTATTGTTGAATTAAATGAAAGTAAATTTATAAAAAAAAATTTAAAAGAGGACACCTTGTGGGCAGTGTGTGGATTATTGGCACAGTGAGTAGAACACACAGATGTGTTAATTGCAACCCTAAATAAAAGGGATAAAAAAATATTAACAACCTTCTGTACCAAATGTATTGACAATGCTTCTACAATACATACTGGTTGTTTGAAGGGGTATTCTGGTTTCTTTAAACATTTAAATTTAAATAAAACAGTAAACTATTCTATTAATTTCGTTGATCTGCAGACAGGAATGCACACAAATACTATTGAAAGAAACTGAATTGTTGTAAAACACATTATCCTCTTTAGTTGCAGAATATCAGGGCTGGTTGACATTTATCTATTGAGGTTTCACTAAATAAAAAATGAAAAAATATAATTTTAAATTTGCCAATTTTAGTATTTTTATTTGTAAAGTGTGTTGTTTTCTCTAAAAACACACAATGCTCGATTATTTTGCATTTATGTTTGTAAATTTAAAAAATGGTGTTAAATTTTAAATGTATCTAAAAATACACATTTACGATATTTTTTAAGAATCTGTAATATTTATTTTAATGCAAAGAATATTCTTAAGTTTTTAATCATATAAAAAGTCACTTTATTTATTATTGTAAGTTTTTTATAAATTTCAAACCTGCATTTATGTCAATACAATATAGAAAATCAAGCAACTATAAGTTGCTTGTTAGATGTCATATAAAGTTATTGCGTTTACTTATCTAAATCTACGCTTTAAAAATCATAAAAAATATATTTTTAAATTTAAATTTATGATCAGTTTAAATTTTAATTTTTTAAAAATAAGCAAAATGATTAAAAAATAACTTTACTTTAAATTTATAAATATACTTTCAACATTTTTATTTATAATTTTTTCATTTACTTAAAATAAATTATAAATTCTCTTGCATCCTTTATGATCACAACAAAAAAAAATATTTAAGCATGTAAACATTCTATATTTTTACAAAAAAAGTAAATGTGTATTTGGAATTACTTTTTTAGTAAAAAATTATACCATCGTCATTTCTATGTTTTCTCTCTATGCTATCAATTGTTATATCTATAGTTTTCTCTCTTCACTATCAATGTTGAACATATCTATAGTTTTCTCTCTATACTATCAATGTTTAAAATCAAAAAATTTTACTTTTAAATTAAAGTTTATTTTTCTATAAATTTTAAGAATAAAATTAAGTAGTAAATTTATTTTTACTTTTTCTAAAAATTGTGATATTTTCTTTTTTTAAACTTTCCCTTTTTAAAATTTTAGTATTTAAACTTTTTAGGTAACAAGGGTATGAACGAAGGTAAAAATATTTTGAAGTTTGATAAATTAGTTTATGAAGTTAAAAATAAAGATAAAGAGATACATACAGAATACGCAAGAATTATTAACGGATTATCTGGTCAGGTAGAATCAGGAAAGATTACAGCTGTTATGGGTGCTAGTGGATGTGGTAAGACACATTTCTTTGAATTATTGATTGGTAATTTAGCATCAAACTGTAAGACATCAGGGAATATAACTTATAACGGAAAAGAGAGGGATTGGAAGGAATGGATAAATAAAATAGCTTTTTTACCACAAGAAGATATTTTTTATCAAGATCTTACACTTTTTGAATCGATTATGTACAATCTATCATTTAATAATGCTACGTCGTACAAGGAGAATGTTGAAATTGCTAATGAGGCCATCGCAATTAGTAATATTACGAATAAAAAAGATGCTATACTTAAGTCTTTATCGGGAGGTGAAAGAAAAAGAGCTATGGTAGCCATAACACTTGCTAATAATCCAGAAATTTTAATTTTAGATGAACCCACAACAGGATTGGATTCTAGTAGTGCTCTTAAAATTGTTGCAAGTCTTAAAAACTACGCCGAAAAAAATAATAAAATAGTAATTATGACTGTTCACCAACCCGGAGATGGTCTTTACAGTTATTTTGGAGATTTAATTTTTTTAACTCGTGGCGGATTATTTTACATAGGAAAGGCGGATAAAATTGACGAATTTTTATTTGAGAATGGCATAGAGCCACATGGTAAATATTCGACTTCGGAATTCTTGTTTCTGCTGCATTCAAATGAAGAAATTTCTGCAAAATGCAAAAATAAACTATATGATATTGAACAAAAGAATACGGTAAGAGAACAATTATCCGAACCAGATGCATGTAACAATAACAAGGTATTTTTTTGGAATATTAATTTAAGGCATTCATATATTCTTTTTAAGCATAACTTAAAGTTACTTTATCGTAGTCCTGGTTATAAAAAAACTTTGACTGCTTATCTACTTTGCGTTGCTTATTTCTCCATGCAGCTAATGTATTCATCATTTGGAAAATTCGCTAATGATTTTGCCTCTTTAAAAAAAACGCCAAATTTTAATTTAGGAACTGCCGACAAAATAACTTTGGCTTATTCTTTTTATACATATTTTATTATATTAACTGTTGTTGTATTTACAGTAGTATATAATATTCATCGGCAAGAACACAATATTTGGAATTCAGAGATTTTTAATGGAAAATATTCAGTATTGTCCTATTACTTTTATGACATAATGCAACGGTTTGTAGCTTCCACTTTTTTTTTAAATTTTATATTTTTAATATTGTTACTTCTTAATAGAAATGCGTACGTTCCGATGATAATAATCCTAATTTTATATGTTTTCACTTTGTTGTCTGTACTTTTACTTTCGATCGTTCACTCATTAATAGCAGCGTATACTTTTGGACCAAAAATGACTACGCTTTTATTGGTGTGGCATAATGTGTTGGTTTACCTTCAGCATGATTCGATTAACCTTTGGATACGTAATTTGTTAAATTCTATTGATAAGAGCTTTTTGCCTTACGTAATGTGTATCAAGTTTATATATCCATCTTTTCTATTTGATATGTATATGAACAATTTAATCAGATATCGGTATCTAAGTGCAAAGTTGCCTTTTAAATTATTGAAAATTTACCAGAACTTAAAGTATGATAGCTCAAGAAGTACTTTATTAAACGTTGCAGATTTATTTATACAAAAAATGATTTTTAATAATGTAAATTATACAAAGGATCCGCATGCCTTGTTATCAATTTATATAATTAAGTTAAAGCTTAGCTGGCTAAAATACATGATACCTATTAATAGTGTAGGTCTGATAACGTTAACAATATTTTTGATAGTGCACTTTAAAGTTCCAAACATAAGAACTAATTTAAAGAGATAATTAATAAATATCTTTCAACTAAAAAGTCGTTATTTTTTAAAAATCCAGTTAAGTGTTTTTAAGTAAAATTTTTACATTTTTAATTATCGAAATGATAAATAGTAATTAGTTATATTAAAAAAAATTGAATTTAATAAAAGAATAATGGTAAGAACTTTAAAAAGCTAATAAACATTTAAGAAATATTACAGCAGTTTGTAATTTTTACTTGTGGCACGTACTTTTGTTTAAATTAACAAGTCTTTTTCAATGCAACATATTAGCAATATAGCCAACTTATTAGAAATTTTGGTTTTAAAATTAAAAAACCAATATGCAAAGAAACTGCCCACTCTTACAATTTTCAAGAATAAGTAACCAAGACAAAGCAAAATTCATACTTGGTACTAAAGAGGGATTGAAACACAATCTAGAAAATTTGATAAACTCTGTACATATATAAAGTTTATAGACAAAATGATTGTTCACAGAGCTATTTGATACAGAATAAGCTTAATGATATCAATCACAACAATTAGATGAAAATTGATAAAATTAATAAATTGAAATATTTACAAAAAAGTTTAGAAATGAAAGTAAATAAGTTAATTTTAATTAACAGAAAGAAATTTTTAATTTTGACTTGGAAGAAATCAGGCATGATACTGTTGCTGTATCGCTCCGCTGAACTGAGTTGTGTTCTTAATTGGTGTATTGAGCCAGGCAATAATATTCTGTACACCCATTTAAGGTGAGAGATGGTCTTTAAGTAGACTGAAGATTCTGTATCCTAAGAAAATGTCCTTTTCTCCAATGAGCAAGACCGTAAAGGTATGCTTGCGTGTAAGCGCAATATTGATGTTTTGTTTTTAAAGTGGAGTTCTTGGTAACCTGGTGGTTTTTCTTCTTTTGCTGTCTTTATTTTTTAACAATTAAATTTTATCTATTTTTTTAATAATAAACGTTTTATTTCTTTTTAGTAATTTTATACACAAGCCTTTTTGTGTCATGCTCCGCCATTCAATTCTATGAGTCTTTTAATCCTAAGATAATTTTTATACCTGCATCTGCTTCGGTGTTCACATTACGGCAGCTGTCCAATCAGATTTTTAATGTCATTTTAAGTGTTCTAGATTAAATGTTAACTTCAAGTCGGGTAAAGCTTTAGCTCATTTCTACGTTGTCGGTGGTAATTAGTAACCACACCATCCTACGTGATTACATACGGAATAATCTTTGATTTATATTTGTACATAGAAGCTGCATGGTTTGCTAAGAAACAATACTTGTGCTTCTTTTCTATTCTGCTGTTCTTAGATTGTCAAGTCTAGTAATCCTAACATTTAAAATAAGAATCTTCTTCCTTATTTTGTCTACTTCTTCTACGACTTTTATTTCAACACTCCAATTTCCTAACAAAGTCTTAATCAAGCTATAATTCCTAGACATTTCATGCAAGCATTGGGCTGTGTACGTTACTGAATCACACGCTTTCTTAACATCTTTCCACGTGATCTTAAGTTTGTAATTGTGGAGTATATTAAGAGTTATATTCGTGAGCGCTTGTTCCTTAGTGTTCTGCATTCTCCTGGCTGTTCTCATTTGATTTTCACGTAATAGTAATTTTGCCTCTCCAATATTCTGTAGTGCGTGCTCTGCCAACTTCGTTGTTAGCTTATATAAATTTGACATACGGATAATTTAGCGGTAGTATTTTCAGATATGTAGGTTCCTTTCAGTATCAAATATGTAATGCCTTTGTAGAACAACCCTTCTTCTTTTCCTTCAATACATATGTTTTTAACATGCATACAGTTCCCTATGTATCGTGTCTATCTTTTTCAAGAAGAAGTTAAATATTCGGTTAGACCCAACCGCTTCCTTCCTAAGCAGTCTCTTTATATAGCTATGAATTCTTCTTTGGTGGAAAATACAAGATCTTCCTCGATTTTTAAATTATAGTTCAGTAGATAATCTGCATACATATTCTTTCTTCATTTTCTTCCCACATGTTAACCAGCATTTTTTAATTTTTTTATGCTTTAGTCTCTCATTCATTGCTTCTTCTGGTTCGTTGACATCTTTTTGTAGGTCTCTTTAGAATCGAACTAGATAAACCCCAAATTTTTTATTCGTTTTTCTAGATAGTCTTCTTCTTTAATGATTTTGGATTTTCTTCTGCTTATTATTATTCTTTTATTAATGTATATGACCATTTTTTTAACATCTTTAAGATTATTAAGTTTGAGTATCTAAACTACTTTTGGAGTTCTACAATTTTCTGTTCATCGACTTTTTGATTATTTTTTTACTCCTGGGATAGAAGACTAAAAGTGTTGTCCTCGTGGTGCTATACACGGGATTCGGAAACTCTGTTCTTATCGACCAGAAGGGTGCGGACTCTTTTGTCCTGTCCGCTGCTAGATTTTTGCAGAGAATTATATCTCTGAAAAAGGATATGTTCAAAGTGGTTATCCGATGACCAAAGATTCTCCTAAAGACAAAGCCCAATGGGTACGGCGGAGCTTGATGCACCGTAGTCTAAGGAGGTGGGGTTTAATCGGGTTCGAGTCCCACAGTACCTGAAGCAAATCGGTCTCATGGGTTTTGTGGATGTTCTGCGTGTGCATTTCCCCATCCTTAATATTATTTTCTTTATACTTATTTATAAGTTCGTTTAATTTAGTAAAGTCTTCTATTATTTTCTCTATACTTTCTTTCCATATGCTTTTCTTGGCTTCTTTTGTTGCTATTTCTCGGAACATATCTGAAATGCTTGTAGCAGTTTAGCCACATCTTTCATAAGATATTGTTGATTACATTACCAACTGCATTGTCTATTGAGTTAAAAACGGTCATGTCCACTTTTGTTGAGCATACTTTTCTTATTGGTCCAATTTCACTAATTTCTCTATCTTTAATATGAGTCCAGACTTCTTAGAAATGTTTTTTCACTTCATCCTGCTTGACAATATCTTTGTAGGATATCAGTCTTGCTATTTCAGCTAAGATCTTCATTTTCTTGACGCAATTCTTTAGTTTGTATTCTCTTACTATAGTGGGACTTCTTGCCTCGTTTACCACCACCTTTGTTGATCTTTTCTTCATCATCAGATTGACATCTAATCTTTAACTTCTCTCTATAGAACCCTGATATTCTATCCCTGTCTTCTCTCAGAATCTGTTTCCTTCTATTTAATATGGCTTGGTAGAACGTCCTTTGACCACTCTTCCATTCTAACCTCTAGTTAAGTCAGGATGGCATTGAGAGATGCAAGTTCGTTGGCCTTCTTAGGCCCATATTTTATTTAACAGGCAAGTCCATATTTAAATCGTGTTTTATTTAGTCTAATGAAGCTGCTGAAGTTGTTTTGTTAATTTTTGTTTCAACTTTCTTTTATTCTCTTTTAACTATCTATAGTATTTACCAAAAAATAAGTATTATAGTAAGTAAGTATACCTATACTTAAAACCATATTACTTTTATTAATGTATTGGTTTTTGATTTTTGCTTGTAATGCCCCATGAACTATCTCCCAGATCTTAAATAGCTTTCAATAATACTTTTATTAATATTTATCGTCTCATATTTAGGTGGAAGTCTTAATCACATGTTAGTTGGGTTAAGGCCTCCCCACTAAAGTAATTTTCATTCAACTCAATCCTGTTTACTTTTATAAAATAATTTACATTTTATTTTTTGCCATAGGAGGCTATGATATTGCCTTTTCTTTATTTTATCTTTCAGGGGATATTTTTTTTCAACAAACGAAATTTTAAAATTTTTATAGACCTTTCTTAAGTAAAAACCACCTTTTAGTTTTAAATCCTTATAAAGGTTATATATCCCTTATTCAGTTTCTACAATATGAAATTAAAAACGAGTTTTTTTATTAGAAAATAGTTAATAGTCAGAAGTCAAACATATAAATATATTAATATGTTTGACATGTCAAAATTTACGATTCCTACATACAAAAGTTTTACTTTGCTACCATCCAGTTAACTCGTTTTTTTTAAACACAAACGATATGTCAGGGTCATCAATCTTTTTGAGAGTTAACAGCCTTGAAATTCCTCTATAAATGCTTTTAGATTCTCTTTTTATTATATATAACTGACGAATTAAAATTTAATACCTCCTTTATTACATTTAATATTTATTTTTACAAAAAAAATGAAAAAGATTGAAATATTTTGTAGTTAAAACTCCTTATGTTTTTTTCATGGAACAAACAAAATATAATTAAGAATTTTTTTATATATTACAAATAAAAGTTTATTTATCCTTATGTAGGAATGGTACCAACACATGTCAAAGATATCTTCCTATATCATGAGATATCTGACATGTTGTGAGTTAATAATTTATAATAAATAAACCCATGTTTTATACCAACACCTTATTTTCATTTAATATTTTTTTAAATATTTTCATATAAAATTGTCCTTTTATACACATAATATAAATCTTTAAAATGTTTATAAATATTTTATATCAAACCCATCCACTATTAGCGGTAGAAACTTTTTTACAATAATAGACGAAACTATAGATTTATTTTTATACAAATAAATGTCAGTTATTCAAATTTAAAGTATAACATACCTGTATCTAGTATATGCATGTTAATTATATCCTTGATTTTTACAATAATAAAAACAGTTCTAAAAATAAAAACCAATTTTATTAAAAAAATAAATTAAATTATTTATTTTTAAACTTTAATTTACTTTTTTGTAAATGTACATCATTTAACATCTATTTTCAAAATATTTTAAGATCCTGGGCAATTTATTTTTTAAATCAAAGAATTTTGGCTAAACTTTTTTATAAACTTTTAATTAAATTTATATTTTTTTTGCCATTAATGTTTAAATATAAATTGTAACGAAAAATTAAATTTAAATAAAATAATAAATTTTTTAAAAATATTTTTTGTCATCAATCAATTTTTTTTTATACAATAAAAAATTACCTTTCAATTTTGTATTAATTAGCTTTTTTATGTTTTTCAATAAGTCATAGCATTACATTATTAGATATTGCATTTGCTAATGATATGTTCCAAAATAAGAAGACTGTAATTTTTACTAAATTTTTATAAAATAAATTCATCTTTATTTATTTTATGTTGTTAAAAATAGTAGACAGGTCATTTTTTTTAAATTATTTTTAAATACTAAATTGTTAAAATCTTGTTATATAAATAATTATTTAATTCTATATTTTAGTTTAGTTATAAATTATATTAAACTTTATTGTTGTTCACTAATTATTATAACTATACATGTATTTATTGGTTTGTGTATTAATAGAATTTTTTATGTAACAAATAAAGTTGATAAATATTCATAGAATGTTTATCAAATTGAAGAAAAACAAATTAAATCAAAACTGTCAAAAAAATCAAATTAAAAAATTTAATTTATTTATCATGTTTATCAACAAATTCGCTATTATTTTCATTAGTATTTTCGTCTACATAATAATATCCACCACCTTGTTGAGGATAATACCCCATTCCATTCTGTCCCATTTTATAATAATATTCGTCATGATTAGGATAACCCTCCTCTTGTTCACCGTTATATTTATAGGCATTATTCCCATAGTAATACGAATTCATATAGTTACCGTACAGTTCAGTGTTGTATCTTCCATCATTAACAAAGTTTGAATCTTGATAATTACTAGCCTCCATATAAGGATGAGAAACAGTGTATCTACTCATATCATATTGATGATCATTATAATGATTCATATCATACTTTGACTTATTCATAGAATACATATCATTTGGATCATAATGTACTTTATTTATCTCGTGATGTTTATTGTCATAGTCCATGTACATTCTACCTGTACGATATTGAGAAGGATCTGTTACATAAGGAGATGGTTCAGCCATATAGTGTCCATCATACATTCTCTTACTATTAATATAAGATCCAGCATAATTATTTTCATCATAATATTGATTTGATTCTGCTACTTGGTTATTTTTCTTAGTCTTTTTTATTGCTTTCTTTTTACTGGATTTATATTCACCGCTTAACTTCTTAATTTTAGCTCTTCTGTTCTGAAACCATATTTGTACCGCTCTAGGAGTCATATTAAGTTGATCCCCCAATTTCTTCCTTGTTTTACTATCTGGTCTAATACAAGTCTCAAATGTTTTTTCTAACACTTCTAATTGCTTTTTAGATGTACGTTTTCTATGTTTAATCATAAATGGATCATTTGGAGATTCGTTCTTAAATGACATGCTGTTCTCTTTATAAGACATTTCATTAGATTTATAAGACACATCATTAGATTTATAAGCCATCTCATTAGAATAGTTTTCATTGTCATACAACATATCTTTATCTTCTTCATTTGTAAACTTGTCTTTGTAACTCTGATATCCATTATCTTTCTTATTATAATCTAATTCCCTATTATTGTTATAATTTTCAGAATTCATTTATAGATGAGGGTTAAAATTTTTAGATTAAAAAATATAAAAAACAATGAAAATTAAAAAGGAGACAAAAAATAAACTATAAATTAAAAATATAATTTAATTAATTTGGTTGTTAATTAAAAGACTCTTTTCTGTATTTACTTTTATGATTTAATATATTATAATTTATTTATATTTGTTTACAACCTATTTAAAAAAATGTATCTATTTAAAAATTTTCATGCATAAACAATTGATAAGAAAAGAAGAAATAAGAAATATACAATGTATCAAAAAAGGATAAATTAAATTACTATTTATGGAATCACATATTAATGTATATTATTTTAAATATAAAAATTATTTTAAGGGTCTATAAAGAACATTTAAAGTTAACGTATAAGAATACCAAGTAAATATAATTATGTGAAGTAATGTAGTCATTAACAGAAAAGTTGTAAATATAAAAAATCCGATTATTTTATGTATAAAACAGTAAATATAAATAAAGATAATAGAGAAAATATTAAACGTGTAAAATTATCTTAATATAAAAATCTAAATACAAAATATTAAGGATGTGTTGTTTAACTATATATATAAATTTTACTTAGATAAGTGAATAATTTTTAATTTATAATAATCTGATAAATGAAAAAACATTTATATTAATTTATATAATAAGTTATTGTGGTATAATTGTTAGATTGACTTAAATTTAATTAGATTTTTCATTTTAAGTTTGAATGATATAACTTTGAAAAATGTACTAAGAACTTTAACCTTCTATATAAAAAAATAATAGTGTATCAAAAGTAAGCAAAAATTTCTTATTTTGTATTTTTAAAATGTAAGATAAATTTAATTAAGTTTTTATAAAATACATTAAAGGTTACATAATTTATATTTTACGACTGTAATGATAGTATATTTGAATTGACTATTAAATTTTTAAGGAGAAAATAAATATCGAAGATTTTTTTAAATAATTAAATTTCTCTTTGGTTAATTTCATATGCTTATGTTTAGGATTTAAAATAACAATTTATATTAAAGCAAAATGTTAATTTTATGATCTTGCTAGTTTAAAAATATGAAATATAGTTACCTATAGTAAACCATAAATTATTATTTGTTTACAATAATATTTATTTAGTTACTTGCTTTATATTTTAGTTTGTTTGTAAAATTTATATAATTTGTTTGTTCGTTATTTTTAAAAAATATTTTTATGCATAAATAGAGGAAATAGTAAACATATAAGTTTTACAAAAAATGAAATATTTTCATGCATAAATAGAGGAAATAGTAAACATATAAGTTTTACAAAATATAAAATTTGTTTGTTATTTTTAAAAAATATTTTTATGCATAAATAGAGGAAATAGTAAACATATAAATTTTACAAAATATAAAATATCCTGTTTCTTATGAAAATAATAAATCTTATTTTTTAATCCTTAATATGGAAATATCTAGTGATTTTGATGATGAAGATTACTTTTGTTCTGATGAGAATACTTTTATAGACACTTGTATTTTTGAAATGTGTCCTTTTAATCTAGTCAATTTTGATTATGAAGATGATATAGAAGTGTCTAGTCCACATATTGTGGATAATAATACACATCAATCATTATGTATAGATAATGATATAGAAATTATAAATGAGATTAATGAGAATATAGAATTACAAAATATAAAAATTAATAATATTAAAAACTATAAAAGTACATTTTATAAAAATTTAATAAATAAAAAAGATCAAGATACATGCGGAATATGCTTCTCATATTTTACAGGAAATAATAAAATAATCACATTAAAATGTGCACACTTTTTCCATTCAAAATGTGTGGTACCATGGATTACGAGACATAAGACCTGTCCAACATGTAGAGAAAAGATATTTTAGATTTTTAAATTATCACATATTAAAATTTTGGTTAACATGTAAAGAAGGATATTTATACAATAAAAATATACAATAGAAGTGTACCAATTCAACATGTAAAAAACTGTAATATATCAAAATTTTTTATTTGTATGTATTTACTTTACTTACAAATTCATCCCAGTTTCTTATCATTAAATCTCCTGCCTCAGTATTTAACGGTGTATCACAGTCCAGATTTATAAAAATTGTGTATAAATTTATAAATATATTTTGTATACCATAAGTACACTTCCAGTTAAGTCTCAAAATCTCAAGACATGTGTTACCTTCTTCATCTATGGAGGGATGAAATATTTTTGTATTGCATTTTATTTTAGGAGATGCAAAAGGATATTCCTGTGGAAAAGAGATAGTAAAAGATAAAGATCTATTTTTGTATAAGCCTGATTTTATATACATAACGTAGTTTATAATAGGTGGTGAATATGAGATAGTGTATGAAGTGTTTTCTAATAACACTAATGATGTCAATTCATTTTTTATCCTAAACTCACAAAATGACAAGACCATGGGGTAGAGGCATTGAAATACATTTAATTTTTTATTTTTGTTATATTTGTATCGTATGTTTAATAGTATTATATATTTATATTGTATGCATATTTTAAGATGTTTATCTTTTTATTGATGAGCTACTGCTTAATATTTCTTTATTAAGTATTTACTATTTTTTATAAGATGCATACAGAATTTTAATAACCAAAGTAGTTGAGATTAAAACTGAAATGAAAGGAATTTTTAAAAATGTATGTACAATTTTTATGTGTGTTTATTATTTTAGCATTTTTATTTACTTTATGTTTATAATATTAAGGCAAAGTAAGATTTATAATAAAAATAATTTATTTATTTTTTGAATTTATAGTAAATTTTGGTTATTTTTATTTCAAAAATAAAAATTTAAATATAATAAGTCTATAGAACTGAACTTAAAACATAAAAACAATATGCCTAAATAAAGATATTTAAACAATAAAATGACTAGTACATTGTTAAAATAGAAATCTGTTTGAATGTGAAATATTGTTTAAATTCTTATTTTTAACTATTTTAATTAAAAAAATTCAAAAAGTTGTCAGTAATTAAATTGTTTTATTGTAAGGTATTATTTTATTTAAAATAAATTAAATGTTATAATTTTAGAAAATTACTTTGGCGGATTTTTCAAAGTTTTAAACTTTTTAATAAATTTTAATAAATTTTACAAAAACGGTGTTTAATAAATTAAATATAAAATCTTTATGCTTACCCCAACATGAAGTTAAACCAGTTTTTAATAATATTTACGCTACTAAGTATACTTAAAGGAACTATTAAAGGAGAATTAGAAGATCATATTAGAAGGATGGATCAAACTTATGTTGCTGTTCGAACACCAGTCTTAATGTATGAGCCAAGAACAGACATTTTTTGTAGTAAATCTCTTATGTGCATTTCACTTTTTTTATTTATAGTTCTTGGCTTGATTTCTGCATTTTGCATTGGATTTTCACTGTACGCCGGTCGTTTTATAGATATGTGTTTTTTTGGTTTTATTTTTCTGGCAGATATAATTTTTTTTATTCTTTGTCTTTTAATGTATAGGCTTTCGGAATGTAGGCCGGTTGTACGGTCACAGGCTTGAATAAAAATTTAAAATGAGCTTTTTATTTAACAAATCTTAATTATCTTGAGATGTATACAAATATTGATATTTGTATTGTAGTTAAAAATTTATTAATAACAACGTTGTCATCTTATTTGCTTAGTGATCATCAATAACATAAAAATAATCTTCTTTATTTTTTGTGTTTTATTCTGCTTTCAGTTTTTTAAAACTTTTAAAGTCGCTTTAGAAGTATTACTAAATTAATCATCGTGGTGTCGTAAAAATTTATAATATTTGTATACATCAAAGTTGCTTAATTACTACGCACATCGAGCTATTACATTTAATACTGTTACCGATGGCCTCTACTCCGCCAATCACAAGACCCAAACTTTTAAGCTGAAACGTTTGAGAACGATCTGCAACCTTATGTTTCAGATCAAAAAAGAAAAATATTTAATAAGTTTCAATAAATAATATATGTCTAATAAAAATAGTTCTTCTCGCTTTCAGAAATCACCATCAGATCTTGGCCAGCCTTTTTGTAATAACCACAATATTTGGATTTAGATCGTATTTATTTTTTTCACTTAGAATATTTAAAACTTATCTAATAATATGTTATTAATTTATACAACAAAAATTTGTTTTTAGTAAACAAGATGTTTAAGTTATTTGTTTAAAATAAAAACTTTTGCTTTAATATAAATTTTACATTAACAACGTTCTTTGTCAAATTTAATTCATTAAAATTGTTTAATTGTAACGAAGAAAAGAAAATCTTTATTATTTAAACTTATATTATAAGTCGTTTAATGCTTAAATTTTATATTGCACATTTTTTTAAAAGTTTAAAACATTAACATGCTTCATGCACATGATGCAATATTAATTAACTTTGATTTTTAGATTTGTGCAATTAAAATAGACCTTTTTTGTAGTGCAATTTTATGTTTTAGTATGTAAACATTTATTAGCTCAAACAAACGTTATGTAATAATTTACAATATAATTCGTTAAAAATATTTTAAAGCTAAAAAAATGCCAAAGTATGATTACGAAAAACTTTAAAAATCCACATTTACTTTCTAGTATCTACATTATTCTCATGTTAATTACTCAATTTAAATAATTTAGTAGTATAATTTAATACACTGCTTGTTAAAACTGCTAGCCTACGTTGTCATTTTTAAAGAGATAATTATATCTGGCGTATTCAAAGAGAAAGTGAAAGTACGTTTCTAAAACATATTTATTTAATAACTTTTTATTCAAAAGCTCCTTCTTACCTAATCTGGTATAACTCTTTCTAGCCTGGTTCTGCTCAGTGTAGATCTTTAGATTTAAAAACTAATTAGGGATAAAAATAAACTTTATCTTTATAGTTTTTTCTCAGTTTCCTAACAAACAATAAACTAAAAAAAACAAACTAGACTATGGCGTTAAACACATTCAACATTGTCTACTTTTTATGTTTTAAAACCTTAAACAAATCAAAAAACGAAACAAACAAATTAATTAAGTAAAAGTTCACAAAAACTAAACTTATAACACTTGTAAGATACCACAAGATCATTTATTTTTCTAAAAATTTTCATTAGTAAGTTGATTTGTATCTATGATCCTAAAAATCCTTTAAATATACTCAACAAATTTTTGATGTCACAATTTGTAAAGAATATACTTTTACAAATACATACATATAAAATCACGTATTACAACTATAAATAAAGTGAAAAACTATTTCATGTTTAATTATTTTTTCATTTATCAAATTTTAATTACTAAAATTAAAAAAAGTAAAAAAATAATTTACAATTACAAATTTAAAGCCTTTATTAAACTACATAAAATAAAAGATAATTACTTTAATTAAAATAATAAATAATGGTTTTCAATTCCCCTTATGTTTACAATTGTATTTCCCTTCAACTTTTTAGCTTATACACATGAGTATACAACAATATCTGTCCCTTTAGATGTCGAAATAAACAATGATGGTATTAGAAATCCAGCAGGTCATTTTGTTCAAGTCGAGGATAATTTAATTACGGGCATTAGGATGCAACCCTTACCTCAACATAATGATTTTTCAACGGATAATCGATTTGAAAATTTTATAAAGAAACATTCGATAACGTTACAAATAATTTCTTTTATAATATTAACTTTCCTTGCATTTTACGCACTCATTTTATATAACGCTGTGTGGTATACGTATATTCAAGTATTAATTATAATAGCTCTTGTTTTTTCGATATTTAATGGCCTTAGTTTTTTAAGTGCACTCAAAATATTTGTTAGTTTAATAAGTGGAGAATCCAGTGATTAAGTTATAGATCTTATATTGAGTATAAAAATCAATGTTATGTTTGTATTTATGGTGAAATCTTTAATTAAAGCCAATATTATAAAATGCCAAAAGCCTCGACATTTGACATACATTAAATTAAAATATTACCATAAATAAAGATCACCTCAATCTGGTATAATATCACTCCCGATAAGAGAAATAAATCATTTTAAAAATAAAATTTATTGTAGAACAATCCCTTTCAGGAGGATATGTCAGTATTCATCCTTTATTTTATCAATTGTTATTTATATTTTTAATGTATACTATTAATAATTTTAATACTACTTTAAGATTTTTCTTTAGGAGACATAATATCTACGTTGCGGAAAATTTAGTTATTTTGAAATAATTAAAATAAAACTTTACTAAGTTAATTGGTGTAATATATTAAACTTTACCAAGCTAATTGGTGTAATATAAAATTTTCAGATATTTTCTCTTACTTTTACACAATTTAATATATATACTAAATTATGTGCTATTAATTATATTAGTACATTTAATAAGTTTTGAGCTTACTAAATATAAAAAAAGCTTTTGATTTTTCTACTGTTCGTTTTTTACATATACAGAAGCGGAATTAAAAATAGAATTTCTTTTTTTTAGTTTACCTATTATTTTTATTCATTTATAATTAAAATTAAGTGCATATGTTTTTAAATACATTTTTACATATATTAAATGTTTTGTTTTCAATATCTAATCAAATAACTAGGTGAATTAAAAATTTAATTTTTTTATAAATATGTATAATACTCTCATGCTCAAATTACTACTCCATATTTTTTTCAGTTCTGATACCAATTTTTGGCGTAGTTTCTCGTCCATATTAGTTCATTTTTTTACTACAGGAACTTTTAATTCCTGAATATTTTTACATCGTCTATCACTAGCTTTTTTCTTCAGAACATACCATAGATTCTCAATTAGATTTAGATCAGATGATTGGGATAGCCATTTAACTAATTCTATAGTTTTTAACCTAAAATCTCATTCGTGGGCTTTGGGTCATTATCTTATTGAAATAATGAATCTTTTTAATTGAAATCCAATGCAGTTTTAAATAAATTATCATTGAAAATTGTAGAATATTTATAACTATCTATTTTACCTTGAATTGTGTAAATATTTCCAAACCCTTTCTCCAAAAAACATCCCCAAATCATGATTGAACCACCACCATGCTTAACAGTAGATGTTAAATTTTTTATATCATATCCCAAACCATCTTTCAAGCAATAATAAACTATCCATCTGATTAAAACAGTGATATTTTAGATTTATAACTCCAAATAATATTTATGAAGTAATTTTCATCTTTGTAATACCATTCAGTTACTAGTCTTAATCTATCTTAAATATTTTTTATGCAAAAGTGGTTATATGCTCTTCTCCTGCTTTTATAATCCAAATCAACTAGTTTTTTATGAACTGTCTTGGAATTTTTTTTTTTGATTTTAAAATTTTTTTCCGCTAGTTTAGTTGAACCTATAAATGATCTTTTTTAATTTCCTTGTCAAGATACAATATATCACTATCATTAAACAAAGATTTTCTGCCCGAGCCCTTAGTTTGAACAATTATCTTTTTTTTCATAATCTTCTATTGTTCTAAAGATATAAGAAGAATATAAATTAAATTTTTCTGCAATTTTTTTTACTCTTTTCAACTTTATATTCTGCTATAATTCTAAGCTTAAGCAAAAACTTTACCACTTTTAATATAAAAGGTTATTTATTTTTTTATTTTGTAGAAAAATTTAAAAATTCTATTTTTTATTTCCGGGTAAAATTTAATTTTTTTAAATGACACAAATAAAAATCCTCATGTATTTTTACCTGCCAACCTTATTAAGAACACATTTTATGTAAGAAACTGTTTTTTTAGAAATGCAATTATAATTATGTTTGGGTTTTTTGTAAAAAATATTAATCTCTTAATTCCATGATGTATATTTAAAAGGTGATGTTTATTACCCATGAGACTTCTTTTGTTTTTTATATCCATATAAAATTATAACACCGCCCAAAGCGCATAACTCAGAAAATTGGCAAAACAAGTAAAAATAAAAATTGTGGTCATCTAATCTCACTTCCAAACGAGTCATTCAAAATGTTAGTTAAAAAAACTTGATTAACTATCAAAAATTTTTTTCCTTCGGGAGATAAGAACTATAAAAACAATTTCAATAATAGCCAGCTCCCTACCAATACTGTCACACTAACTATGTAAGATTCGCAAACGCAAAAAAATGCTTTATATTGCATAAACTTGCCTTAAAAAAAAATTTCTTTTCTGTATTTCTTCATAGTTCAATTTACTGCACCATTTTTGTTTGATGGCATACAAAAACTACTATTATTCTTTTAAATAATTTCAACGACGTTGTTTTTTCAGTATCTAATAAATACTTTGTAACGTTTTTTTTTAGACTTTGAATTTAATCTGGATGCCAAATCTTTTTATGTGTACATCCCAGTAGTTCATCCCTCGGCTTATTTACACTATTCATACGCAAATATGATTGGGATAGATTTATATTACTTTACAAAATTTAATAAAAAACGTAATATTAACCTATTAATTATTTATTTTACTTAACATTTTGATTTAAATGAAAAAGCAATTCAACAGATATGTGATAACCATATAAAGATAAAACAAACAAAATGCTCCAAAAAATGCAATCGAATATCGACTTATAATCTTTTATACTAAGTAAATTTACGAAAAATGAGAATACAATTAAAACTACAAATATTAGAATAAATACCCACTTAAGACATTTATAAGAAAGTTTTCTATTTTTTAAAAAAAGAAAGCAAACTCTTTTATCACGGGGTTTAACAGAATCTCTTATGTCTTTCATTGTATCACACCCTTTGCATGAATCGATGTAACTTTGTAGCCATTAGTCCATTCTTTCGTATTTAACACATGAATATTTTTTGAAAAAGTTGAGGATTCATTAGGGACCCAAAAGAAATGTAATAAATAACTTAAACTTTAATTAATTTTTTAAAAATTTAAGTTTAAGAAAGAATGATAATATTTTTTTATAGCACCGTATAGCAAATTTATCATAATAACTGTATTTACAAAGCAAACTTTAGTAAATTTTTTATTAAATATTTTATAATAATTTATCAATTATAACTGTGATGTTCTTTACATTCTTTAACTTATTTTTAGCTATTTGTTTTTTTAACAAAATTTAAATTTACTAACAGTTTGTATTTTCTTGAAAAACAAAAATATAAAAATTATAACGCAAAGATGAGTACGGACGAATGAATATAACGAACATACATTACAAGAAAGGTTAAGGTACCGAAAGGTGCAATTACCACAAAGCTCTTAAATAGGAACTATTTTAATTTAAAGTACTTTGAAACTACATTTTTAATTTTGTTACATACCATTAAAGTACAACAATAACAAATTTAATTACATAAAGTTTTAGTTCCAGATATAATTTTAAAATTTAAAGTTTCAAATTATTACAGCTGTCAGAAATAGCTGGCAAGGAAGTATATTTTAGATAATACCTAACTAAATTAGAAAATTAAAAGACCATTTTATGAAAATTTTTATTTAATTCCATCTTGGCTACAATTATTTTCTATTTATATTTTTTGTTTCAGATATTGTGATATAATAATCAAATAATGATCGAAAGACCATGAACCTTTTTAATTTATAATTAGCTCATAAAGTGAAATGTCAGCAATCCGTTTCAGAGACTAAACGTTTTTAAATGCGCTTTGTGGGTTTTGAGAAAAAAATTATTTAAAGAAAAAATTATAAATAAAATATTTTTAGTAAAAATTATTTAACCAATTCTAACTACAGGACTCAGAAGCGGTTCTCTGCTCTTAAAAACCAGGGCAACATCAACACGCTCATCGCTAGTTTGTTAGAAGAATATTTTAGGAAGAATTTCATCCCATGGACTCACGTCAGATATATTGTAAACATCTTTACTTAAGCCAATAATGTTCAAGATTCTGTTTATTATTTGCTTTACAATAAAATATTATTTACAATTAAACCAATAAGTAAAATATTGTATGACAATCCGTAACAATATTATAAGGAAGGCGGGGTTTTTTGAATTCTGCATACATTTTTTTTAAAAAAATTACAAAAAATAAAAATCAAAAAAATAAATTTTAAAAATTTAATTAAAAAATAATTCTTTAGCACTATTAACATATAATTCATTCTAGGAAAACAATTTCTCTATAATACAACTAAACTTACGTGGTAAAAAGTTGTTTTGGATAGTATAATTTTTTTAGTTGCTTGCCCTCGTAGGTTGTAATTGTTCATAAATGCCTTATGGTCTCTCCTTTCATAGTTGCTGTTTTCTTTTCATGATAACTTAAACTTCTTGAAGTTTTAATAAAAAGATTATTTATACTAAAAATTTCTCTAATCTGATAATTAATAACACAAATTCCTAAAATTTTTTTATAAATCTTGAAAAATTGATGGTATTAATGCCCATGATATATATCTTCTTAAATGTCCAACGACATATTAATTATCAATTTGATCTCTATTTAACGCCATTTTCTTTTTGCGTTGTGCTTAATATATAGCTCCCGAATACCTACCTCTATATTATTATATGGATTCCATCTTGTGATCTAAATCCAACCGAATGACTAACGCTATAAAGATTTTGACTAAGGTCTCTTACAACAGCGGGATAAGAAGAATGATCATTGGCGTTTAACACGATTCCGTACTTAACATAAATACCTATTGCTTCTTGTAAAGAAAGAATTATACGATCAATAACACGAACATGATAAAATTTTTTTTGCTTGTTCGATCAATTTTACCAACAATCCAAATAGTATCCCTAGTATCATCAGCACTCGTAGAATTGAAAAATTTCACGCCGTGAAAAATTTTTTTATCCATTTTGATGAAATTTCTGAGCCTCCTAATGATAACTTGATGTGTATTATAATACAATTTGTAGCATTCTAGAGCAAAGTTTTATACTTAGCTATTGTTGCATCTGAAAATCTAAAGAAGTTATAGACTGAAAATAATTGATATCTAACAACAAACAGTATATAAGGTGTGCTACTTTTGTTAAAAAAATTTTAGAATGAAATAAGGGGGCCCTTTCTGGCATCTTCTTTTAATATACTCATAAGCTATTGTGTCTATCTAACCTTTTATAATCATAAGTTTACAAGAATTTAAGTTTTTTTGACAGATAAGTATAAAAATAATGATATTAATATTAACTAAAAATTTTTTCAGCTTTTTTATTTTATAAAAAATTTCATCGTTAATTTCAATATTCAAAATAGCTAATTCTAGAAAATTTTTACATACACTACTAATAATGAGAGGCGTATGCAATTTATAGTAATAAACATCAAAATTTGTGTAACTTTTATATAAAAATAAGCAAAAAATAACATTATTTATGGTTTAAGACGGAATTTTGAACCCATTAAAGTAGATTTCAGCATATTTTAATAGTTGCTTTAATTTTGAAAATGCTTTCCATAATGCCAAAATATTAAGTAGTTTAATTATCTTTAAAATTTTGCTTACATTCCCATTTTTGTAGATTTTGCCTTATGTTGAATACTGTTTTTTCCCTATTCTTTAACACTATTTTTTTTTAAAAATGTAGGCAGAATTCTAAAGAAGGCCCCAGAATGGCATACACCAATTATAAATATTGGGCATGGTTTAAACTTTATTTAACTTGAGGAGTGACATCATCATTTATTATCGCACTAGCATCAAAGGCCCTTATCATCATCTGTATTTTTATGCAACCCACCTTAAATCGTCAAATCCAGTTCGGCATTTTTATGTACTACATTGGCCACTGATAACCCACCAGTTTTGGTCGGTGTGCTGCAAATCCTGTAGGAGAGAAGGTTCGGGAATTTTTTGTGCTCTACTTCGTCTAGTCTCTTATTTGGCTCGAAGCCACTTTACCTAGAACCAGCCAGGATCACAACCTTTCATGATTTTAACTTATTCTTAAGTGCTTGCATGCCCCTGTTATAGGTAGATAAAACTTAATCTACATCATTTTTGGACTTAATGGCGCATTCAAATTAGGTGTTAATCCCCTTGGCGATATGGACGGCACACAAGTTTCGTGAACCAATTAAATAATTTCTCGTGGACATATTTTACCATTAAAAGATCAAACACACCTTAAATAAAGAAACAAGAGGTGCTAGTTGGGAATCGAATCCATTTCTTAAAGTATTAAATGCACTGTTTTCGACCACGCATTCAGAACAGCAATAATTTTAATAGTTTATGAAATTTAAGATAAAAAGAAAGATCATATTATTTTCGTACAATATTTATGCATGTTTATTATTTTAACATTTTATTTACTCTATGTTTTTAATAATAATTGATAAAAAAAAATTTATACTTATGATATTTTATTATTTTATATTTCTGTAATAAACAATCTTATTTATTTCAAATTTATAGTACATTTGAGAATGTTTTCTATTCTAGAAACAAAAATATAATTTAATAAATTTTTAGAATTAAACTTAAAACATAAAAATAATAAAATAAAAAATTATGCTTAAATAAAAATAATGAAACAACAATATTATTATCATACTTGTGAAAATATAACTCTTTTGAATGTTAAAGTTTGTTACATGCCTATTGGTTATAATTACGTTAATTAAAAATAATTAAAAGTCGTTTTGTAATTAAATTATTTTATTATGTGGTATAATATCTTATGTGAACATGTATTTAGTGGTAAAAGAAAATTCAAATAAATTAAATGCTTTTCTATAAGACTTGTGTGTATTTAAAGTTTATAATTTTTGGCAAATCTTTTACAAAAATGATTTATTAATTTTAGATATAAAATCTACTTCTTTGCCCCCAAATGAAGTTCAACCAGTTTCTAATAATACTTTCGCTATCAAGTATGCTAAGAGGAGCTATTGGAGAAGAAGAAGCTCCAATAAGAAGGGATTGTCAAGCAGAAATTGCCTTGCGAGCTAAAGCCTGCATGTACGAGAAAAAAACAGAAGACTTTTGTAGTAAAGGTCTTAGATTCTTGTACTTTTTTTTATTTGCAATAACTGCTACATTTTCTTCATTTCTTTTTGGGCTTTCACTGCACGCAAAATATTATGCAACTGCGTGTTTTTTTGGTGTTGTTTTTCTGGCAAATTTTGTTTTTATAATTGTTTGTGCCTGTGTGTATAAGTTTTGGGATAATAGATCAGTTGTGCGGTCACCAGTTTAAATAAAAATTTAGTATTTATTTAAAATAAGCTTTTTCATCTAAAAAAACAATCTTGTTTGTCTTGAGACTTATGTTCAATTCTGATATTTTATTGTAGTTAAATTTTTTAGATCACAATTTCGCCGAAAGATAGAAAATAGAAAAAAACATCCCCTTATATTTTTTTTAAAATGCCAAATTTACTCTAAAAGTTTATGAAATTTGATAAGAAAAGCCATTTCTTCAATTTAACAACATAATTGATATAGTTTAATTCCACAATTCAATTGGTGGGTCTGTTTAATTTGCTTTTTCAAATTGTTTGTACATGTTGCTGTTACTAAGTTTAGCTTTAATACTTCTGGTTCTTTACTAAAATCTGTAAGTTATTAATCAACCGAATCGAAAATGTATGTTTACTATCAAATTCTTTTTTAAAAAGTTATTAACTCCTTACGCATGATTATTTGTAAACAATATATTAGACGTTTTCGTTCATATATGTCTAAATTTGGGAAAAATATAAAAAATCCACTTTCTTTTAAAATAAGTTAAAAAAGTATTTATTCCTACATGTGTTACTTTCTAAAGTATTAAATTTTTGATGGAAATATAGAAATTATATCGATATCCAGATTTTAAAAATGCCAAACTGATTATGCATTTGATATTGTTGTGCTCATCATAGCCAGTGGCAAATAAATATAAAATAACATTTATTTATTTGTATTTACTCTGTAAGACAATTGGTTCTTAGTTCATTAGTTACAATAAAAATTTTATATTGATGACAAATAAGGAGTTAGAAATATTAAAAAAATTTACTTACAATAAATATGGTTTTCACTAAAGAGCATTTTTTTTCCACAGCTTAATCTGTACAATGCTTTTGTCCGGAAAAAACATCGTTACGACCTATGTTTATCAAATATACAGTTTGTCTAAAAAAACGCATAACCAATGGCTGTATATTTATTTCGTTTTTATGATTTACAAGAGTATTTTCTTTAATTTAAACCGTAAAATAAGATAATACAATAATTCATATCTGGTTTTTGAATTATTTAATAGCTACAAATACCTACTTTTAATTAAAATTGTCTAAAAAAAATACATAATTTTATTCAATATTTAGTGTGCGCACCTTTAACTTTTAAACCTTCAATACTAGTTTTTAAAAACTTTCTGAGTATTTTTTGTACGTTTCTATATGATACTGTTCCATACAGCTTGTATTACAGTTTTTAATTCATTTAAATTTTTAGGTTTTAAAATAATAATTTTGAAGTTAATGAACCCCAATAGATTCTCAATGGGATTTAAATCGGGGGATTGAGAAGGCCATGCTGATAACCTGACATCCTTTGCTGCAAACCACTGCTTTGTTACGTTTGCAGTATGTTTTAGATCGTTGTCCGGCTGAAAAATGCTCTCTGGAAAACCCATCATTTCTGCAAAAGTGTCTAGGTTATCGATAAAAATGCTAATGTATTTGATTGCATTTACTTTTCCTTCAATGAATATTAGTTTTCCTGCTCTGTAGTATGAAAAGCAGTCTCATATTATTAAAACTTCTCCCCTCCCGACATGCTTAATGTTGGACATAATTTTTTTTTGTAAAAGTCCTGTATTTGATTTATTTTAAATTGAAATCTTACCACCAGAATTAAATAGGTTAAACTTACTCTCATCACTAAAAATTATCCTCTTTCTATATTTTTTTTGAGTGCTAGCCATTTTAATACACAATCATTTCTACTTAAAATGTGCTTTTTTTTGCAATAGAGGCTTCTTTATAGGTCATATGCATAGATACCCTTCTCATTAAGACAAAATCTTATTTTGTCTATATTAACACTAATATTATCTACAGTTTTTATTTCTATACTAAACTTTCTCAATGAAATTTTTAAACTTTTATTAACTTTTTTTATAATCCTATTTTTAATGACACCAAAACATAATTAGGCAGTCAATTGCCTCCCGCATGCTTCATTATGACTTTCCGTTTATATTTTTTTCTGAATCTTGTTTATAGTGGATTGGTTTACATAAAATTTTGGTTCAATTTCCTTTTGGGACAAATTATTTTTCAAAGGCCCAAAATTTGCCTAACCTCGATTCAAAATATTGCTTTATTGAAAGCAAAGCAAAATTTTGTTAAAATATAAATTAAAGGTATTTTATTTCAGTTTTAGCAAAAATAAAATAAAAGTTTTTTAGACAAAGTTAATTAAAAACAGGTATTTGTAACTATTTAATGCTTTGTAAATTAATTGTAAATCAATAAAAATCTTAATTTACGGTTTTATTTAAGAATTTACTCTCGTAAATTATAAAAATGAATAAAATATACAGCTATTAGGTATGCGTTTTTTTAGGAAAACTGTACAACCTAAATGTTGTATCACTTAGATAAATTTGTTTTAATCCTTCAATAAGAAGATTTTTATAAACCATTGAGAATAATGAAATAAACAAAATATTATTACACAAGCTGCAAAAATTTCTCTAACAGAATTTATAGTTGCCTGTTCAAAATATATATTTAATTATCTATACATAAAAGTGGAAGTTTACGTTAAATTGTCCGAAATACTTCCTTATAACAACTTTCCTCTTTATTTGCCACTTAAACATAGATTTAAGAAAAAAACTTACCATTTATACTCATATGTATAAAAAAGGGGAAAAATTTAGCTGGATATGTTTTAAATGTGCCATCAGCCAAAAATAAGGTAATATTTAAGGCTTAATCAGCAAATTTATCGTTCCAAAAATAACAATCTTTTGTTCTTCATCTAAAAAGCTATCATATTATAAAACTTAAAATTAGATGATGTATTTAAATATTCAATGGAAGTATCATAATTTGCTTCAAGAACCAAATTTATATATCTAAATTCCTTTCTACGGTAATAACATATTCCACATATATATATTTCTAATTTAATTAGTTGAAGTTGTTTGTTTGCAATATATCACAATTATGCAGCAAACAAACAAATTAAACTATAAATAGGGCCAAGCCCAAAAACAACAACCAAATACCCATATTGATCAACTAGACAAATAAACAATATCATAATATTGATTTTAGAAGTACAGGCAAGCCCCAAGATAGGATTCAGCCCTATTGCATTGGTGTGATTGAGAAATACCTCTCCACTAGGCGATTCCCAAAAAATTACGCAACTTTCTTATAATAATTAGTTTGTATACAACGCATAGATTCTAGCTAAATCAATTCTTTATATATCAGCTAAAATTACCGAATTTTTTGCTATCACTTCATTAGGATGCATTTTTCTGAACAAAATCATTAATAATATCTTGAGGGGTAATTAGCGTTTTCATAAAAGACACAGTTATAAGTTCATGGATGTAAAGTTTTAATTTATTGTTAATTAATTTATTTGTGCTCAAATTTTTGTACACCTTTTTTTGAAAATTTTTTCTATAACAATACCATATAGATCCATTGATGTTTTCTCTTTTTATATAATATTTAAACCTTTTTGATATTATGCTTATTTTATTTTTTTCTGAAATTTTAATAATAAAACTAATCTCCTGCTTTAGATTAAATTCTTTACATCGTCAAAATCATTTTTTGCGAGATATTTTTTTGTATTTCGACAAAATTGATGTAGAATTGCTTAATATTTACTAAGGACAATGAAGAAATCTTGTTTGCTTAATGGGCATAAATAGTATAGAAATTATCTTGTTAATTTTTTCGTGTTTAATTCTGTTTTCTGTTTTTTAATTTTTTATAGCCTACAGCAGACTTTTAAAGTTGCTTTAGAAATATCACTAAATTGATCATCGAGGTGTCTGTATGAATCTACAATATTTGTATACATTTCATTTGCTTAGCTAATACGTATACAAAGCTATTACATTTATCACAATGCTTGGATTTAGATCGTATTTATCTTTTTGAATTTTGAATATTCTAAAATTGTCTAATAATATGTTCCTAATTTATACAACAAATATTTATATTGAGTCTTAATTGTGTTTAAATTATTTGTTGTTGGTCTAAATTATACTTCAATATAAATTTTTATTTATTAAATTTTTTACTAATGACATTTTTTGTTAAACTAAATTTATAAAATTTATTTTATTAGTTTTAAAATTCTTAATTTTAAATTAAAACATCATTTTAGACATTGAAATACTTCATGCACATGTTGCAATATTGATTTAGTTAACTTTTATATTTATGAATGTAAAAAAAAAACATTTTTAATGTAAAATTCCCAATATGTTAGCATATAAACATTTATAAACTTATGTAACTGTATTTAATAATTTACAATATTATCGGTGAACGATATTTAAGGATAAAAAAAAATCAAAAATGATAAATAAAATTTTTAGTTAATTTACACTTATACTTTCTATTTTTAAGCTGTATTCTCATTTTAATTACTTAATTTATTTATTTAACAGTTAGATATTATACTACTTTTAAAAACTGCTATCTTACGCTGCCCTTTTAAAAAGGAGTTTTTATAGCACTTTTGTTCTAAACATATTTTTACATTTAATTAAACCTTTATCTATCATAATCGAACAATTTGTAAATAATTTAAAAATTTTTGATGTCACAATTTGCTAAAAATATATTTTTAAAGTTACTTACATATACACCCACAAATATCAACTGTATAAAAAGTAAAAAAAAAATTTTAATCAAAATTATTTTTTTATTTATTTACTTGATTATTGCAGATCTTAAAAAAATAAAAAAATTAATTAACATTTATATTTTTAAGAGCTTTCTTCAAATTACATAATCAAAAAAAATTATTAAAAAATATAATAATTTAATTAAAATTATAAATATCCGTCTCCACTTACCCCCCATGTATGCAATTGTATTTCTTTTGAATGTTTTAGCTAGTACACATGAGCAGACAATATTAACTGTCCCTTTAGATGCTGAAACTACCACCGATGACATTAGAAATTCAATTAATCGGATGACCCAAGCCGAGAATAACTCAATGACAGGCAATAGATTACAACATTTATCTCAACACGATGATTTATCAACAAGTAAAAGATTTAAAAGCTTTATAATAAAACATGCAATGTTATTACAAATAATTTCTCTTATGATATCAATTTTCATTGCGTTTTGTGTACTCATTTTATATGATGCTGAATGGTATCAATTTATTGAAATGCTAACTATTAATATTCTGGTTTTTATGGTAGTTAATGGCTACGATCTTAAAACTTTATTTACAACAATTTGGAAATTTATAAAAAAAGACTAAAACTGAAAATTAAAAGCTTAAATTTTTTTGCTAAAGACTAAAAACCTTTGTTATTTTTGTATTCATCTTTTATTTTATTGACTGTATTTGTAATATCGGGTTTCCTGTTGATAACTGACTACATTTTATAAAATATTTTTTAGGGGTTGAAAATTTAAATAATCATTTCCATTAATTATTTGCTAGATTGGCCTGCACAATCCTTAGACATGAATCCTATAGAAAGTTTATGGCATATTCTTAGGGTAGAGGTAGGAAAAAGAAAATCAAAATATATAAATGAATTAAAGAAATGTGTTGAAGAGGAGTGGAATAAGATAGATGTAGATGTGTGTAAAAATTTGGTAAAGAGCATGAACAGTAGATGCAATGAATTATTAAAAGTGAAAGGTGGACATACTAAATTTTTAATAAAAATATTCCTTTTTTGCCATATTATTTTTTATTTAACTAATTAAAGCATTGTGTTAGCATAATAAATAAAATACTTAAACAATTGTAAATGTTTGTAGCTTCTTTTAAAATGGCAATAACCTTCTATGATATATAACTTTTAATTGCAAAATTAAGCATTCCTTTTTTTTGTCACTACTGTAGGTGACTAATTTTTATGTTAGAATTCTTTTGTTTGTAGTATTTTAAAATAAATGTACTAAAAAAATTTTCGGTATATATTACAAATTGGGCAGTACAAGATCATTGGCCAAAAAATTATTTCAGAAATTAAAATACAGTAATATTTTTATAGTTTGTAGATTAAAAACTTTATTTAATTTTACTCTTTGAAAAAAATTGCTTTAACAAAATGATCTAAAAGCAGAATTATATGACTAAAAAATTTATTATTCTTTAAATTTTATGTAAAATTTATAGAGAACTTCCAAAGAATTAGTAAAAGAATCTAAATTTATAGTTATGTCTAAAATATGATTAGCTAGATATTTAAGATTTCTCTTTAAGTCGACCCCTTTAACATGATCAAAATGGCGGTCTTGATAGAGTACTCTTTCGACTAAAGTAATCATTTTTGCAAAATTTTTATCTGAAAACAATGTTGTAAATTTGTATTTTTGGTATTTAAACCTGTCGTCAAAAAAATAAGAGGTAAAAAATTTTTTCCTTATAAAAAAATTAGAATCAGTGATAAAGGCAAAAACTTGGCTAGTAAATTTTAGAACTTTTTCTATCAAATTATAACTTTGCTCTGATATTTGTTGATACCTAAGTTGTTTATATATATTTGAAATACTAACGGTAATTTTTCTTTTCTTTTTATAAAATTTATTGTGGATAGATTTTTTAAGTTTTTTTAAGCGCAATTTATCATCATCTGAAATATTGCTGGCATCTATATTGTATATATTACTAAATTCGGGTAAGTTTCTTGCTTGTACTAAATTATAAAAATTTTCTTCAAGTTTATTAAATAAATCTGAAAGTTCTTGTTCGGCGCAACAAATTGTATTGCAATGTGGTGCAAAAAATAAATGTGTAAAATCAGGATAAGACATCATAGAAGGACATTTAAGCATCTCGCTTGTGTTTTTATCAACGCCAGTATTCTTAAATTTATTGATATTAGTATTTATAGTATTTTTTAAAGCCTCGGGAAAACTATAATCTACTTTTTTATCCATATCATCTGTCCTGATGGAATTGTAAAGATTGGCGCCATCTAATGATCGTGCATTTGAACGCGAAGAAACAAGATTTTTTTTAAACTTACAGCTCAAGCCTAAAGGTTCTGTAGACCCCAAACTTGTTGTATCAATAGTTTTAGCATCAATTAAGCCGCTATAATTACTAGTTGATGGCTTTACAGTACTATCATGCATAATAACGTTTTTTAAGGTTTTGCACTGTTCCAATTCTTCATTAGTAGATGCAACGGTTTGTAACACTTTTACTGACAACTTTTCATTTTCTAGGTCTAATATACCTTTATCTATATCAGTAATCATGTCAATTTTATTCTCAATTCTTAATCTTTTATTAGATCTTATTTGGATTTTTGCATCATTATCTTTACGTTTCTTATCCTTCAATAAAGACATTATTGAATGATTAAGATTATAAATTCGTTCATGTGTATTAAGGTGAGATGATATTACTTTTTTAAAAACCAATAAAAAACAAATAAAATTCATTTTATAGGGGTATATTTAAAAAAATTTATAAAACTTGTGAAAAATTAATACAGTTATATATATTATTTATTTTAAGTTTACTTTATAGATTAGAAATATTTTTATTTTTTATTTATTTAATTTAATTTTCTAATCTATTAAAAAAACCAATTATATCAATTAAAATAAATGTTTTAATATAAGTGTCACATCTCCTGCTTATATTTAAATTCTTGTAAATATTGAAAAAAATCATCATCATTTAATGATTAATGTATGAATAATTAATTTTTATAAAGTAAACAGGAGATGTGTGCAAGTCGTTTTATTTTTTTATATTTTATACTAAAAATATAAATTTTATGCCAATTTATTTTATTTTCTGCTCAAATATAGTATTAGCGTAGTTATTTACACAAAAATAAATTAATATTGTTTTATTTATAAGCAAAAAAAAATTTTAATTTAACGAAATACGCAACTTCAATTTTTTATATAATACTAGCTTACGCTATTTCGTCTGAAACGGAATCATAAATATAATGTGTGTTCTTTCTTTTAATGAATATGCTGTACCTTAATGTATGTACAAATTTTTTTATTACAAATTACATTCTCTATTATAAATTAAATTTGCTATAAACACCCTGTAACAATTTAAAAAAACAAATAAAATTTAAGAAAAAACAGGAAAACTGTGTGCTGTGCTTTTAAAAAAAAACATAATACTTGTGTTATTCTTTCTTAATAAAAATTTTTAAAAAAGAAAGGTTAAAAAATAAATAAATATTTAGATTCAAACTTTTTATATATATATAGCTTACGCTATCCCGTTTAAAACGGGACTCAAATTCGATACGTGCTTTTTTTGTTTAAATTATGTGTATATGTCCCCTTGTGCATGTATGTATTTTTTATTATTAAACATTGAACACTTTTAATTATAAAATAACAATAGCGCGTATTTTACAATTTGAATAATTAATTAAACTAAAGAAAAATGCACAAAAACATCGTGCTGTGCTTTTAAAACTTTTTTTTACTTGTGTTATTCTTTCTTATGAAAAATATAAAGAATTTTACAGAGTTTTAAAAAAGAAGGGTTAAAAAATAAATATTCAAATTCAAACTTTTTATATATATTGATGATTGATGACTAGCTTAAGCCATTCCGTTTAAAACGGGACTTTAAATACAATGTATACTTTTGATTATTTGTATCTCGCGTTAAGTTTATACGTTTATGTTTAGAGTCTTAATTTGTTATTTATATTTTGTATAAAAGCTGCAGTAACACACCTTTGAAATTAAATTTTTGAATACAACACAAAAAAATATAGTGAATGTTCTGTTCTATACGTAAAATAATCAAATAAACAACATTGCTATTGCTTTTAGAACAAAACTTTCCAAAATTTGAAAAAAGAAGGGTTAAAAAATAAATATTTTGATTTACATTTTTTATATATAGACAAGTTTAGTAGTTATCCTTCGGGCAAGGCAAAAATCTACAGTTTTATAAATTAAAATCATTTAATTAAACTTTCAACGTAATTTTCTAAATTCTCGGGATCGTCAATATTTAATATTTGAAACATTTTCTCAGCTTCTATTTTATTAAAATAAACACGCCTTCCTCCTATGCTGTATCTAACGTCTACATTGGTTAGTAATGCTATACTTTCAAATAATTGTGGCAATGTTTTTGACCCTGACGCAAATATAGATAATGAATTGCCAATTAAGATGCTATAAAAATCATATAACGTTATTTTATTCAGACATAAATATAAATCAGAAAACTTTTGTATATCATTAAAAAATTCAATATTAAAAATATCATCCTTTTCATAAATACTAAAATATTCCTCAGCTTCTTTATAAATAAGAGTGTATAACAAATTATTAACTTCTTCACTCTCCGCCGTCATCATAAAATGAATCTTAGAAAGTTTTTCTTTAGTAAAAAAATTTTCCAGAAAAATAATTATTCGGAATCGTTTATCATCATTTAGATTTTGCGTAAGAAAAATAATTTCATTCACGTTTAAAATATTATAATGGCCCAATATTTGCATTAATATAAGATATGAAGCGGAACCCGGACTTTCACAAATTTTATATAGTAGATGATTTAGTAGATTTTCATTTTTAAATTTATGAAAAATAATTTTGTATTTAAAAAAGTCAAGATTTTTTGCCTTCATATATAATTTCCAAATCTCAATGCAATCTTGGTATGTTTCTTCAGAAATGCACTGACAATTTCCCTCAATCTCTAAGTGATTATTACAAGAATAATAAAATGTTGTACTTAAAGTTTTGAAAAATATAGCCTTTTTTATAATTAAAACATTAAAAAAAATCTTCTCAAAATTATATAACAAAAATTGCCTGGGTAGTTTTTTCTCATCGTTATTTACATCATTTAATAATTTAGAATTTAACAGAAAATCAGAAAATGTAAAAATTTTACACATTAAAGTGCATATCTCTGTACAAATATTATTATCATTGTTATTTTTATGTAACTTTATTATTTCACTTGTATATTGTTCTTCTACAGTGTATAAATCTTTAGCGTCAATTTTAAACAAAAACATTAAATTTCTTAATTTTACAGGAAAAAAAAATTTCATCTTATTTTCTTCTTCAAAGAATTGAATGTTGCCACCCATTTTATCTTTTCCAAGTTGAAAGCAAAGAGGAAGAAATATCATTTTGCTTCGAGAAAAACATAAACAAAGCTTCCTTATTTGTTTTAACTTGCTACTATCATAAAGTCTAGCAATAAAATCTGGTTCAATTCTATTATAAAAAAAATTCTTAAGATTTAACTTAATATCATGTTTAGATTTAAGAAAAACTAGCTTACAAACGGCCGGAAATTTCAGTAATTTATTTAAATTGCTTGAAAGATAATAATCACAAATTTTTTGAATTGCTTCATCTGCCGTATTATACTTAATCCTTTTAGATTTGTAAGAAATATCCTTGGGTCCAGATACATCTCCCATGTATTCGCAGCAAACAATTTTATCATATTCAATATAGACTTCAAAAGAGTAGTATTCTTCTTTTAAATCTATCAAAGAATAGCTTTCAGTCTTAATCTTTTGTTTAATGACTTCCAATAAATTCTCATAAATGTCTTTACTGGATTTTAAATGAGCAAAAAATAACACTAATAATACAAATTTCATTAAACTATAAAGGGTCAGAAAAAAAAATTATAACTAAGCTAAATTTTAATAAAAAATTACTACCTGCTAAATAAACTTTGATCTTAAATTATACTGATATAATTTTTTTCCAAAAATAGTAAATGTATATTTTTTAAAAATTTTTAACATAGTAAATGTATATTTTTAAAAATTTTTAATATAGTAAATTTATATTTTTTAAAAATTTTTAATATAGTAAATTTATATTTTTTAAAAATTTGTAACATAGTAAATGTATATTTTTGAATTCAAAAATAATAATTAAATTATAAAATTGCAATTAAAGATTGTATTTATTGTTTTACATTATAAAAAGCAAGTGTCTTACTGTGATATTGATTATTACATGAAATTTTATTCTCCTTTTTCTAAAAATAATTTTTTTAAATTTTTTTTTGCGTAACTAAATATTTATCCTTTAACCCTTAAGATTTACAGTGGAAACAACAAGCTTATTAAATATAGACTATTTCAAAAAACAGATACCACCTCGGAAGGGTCTATCTGCACCTCATAAGAAACAATTAACCAAAAAACCAACCAAAACATATTTTTAAAAAGACTAAAGATAAATAAGAAATAAATTGTGTTTAGTACACATATATTTGGGTATTATGGTATTTACCCCATGTTCTTTATTTATTTTAAAATATTTTACTATGAAAAAGCATAGTTTTTTAACTTCAAAATAATTATAAAATAATGCTTTCAAAAAATAACTATTTCAAGACTTATAACAATAAACCATTTTTTGATAATAAAAGCATTATGGAAGTTATTTTAAGCTCCGGCCTTACTTAAGGAGTACTTACTAAAGGCATATAGCAACACTTTACTTGTATAAACGCTTAAATGTGTAGTTTAAAATTTTTGAATGGATGTAAATTCTAAAAAAAATTTGAAATTATTATACAGCGCTTTTGAAAACTCTTATTTTTATATCTTTAAAATGGTGGGAAAAGTCATTGTTAAGACCATAAATGATAAAGATTCTTACTCTGATGCTAAATTATGAAAATTTAATGAATTATATTTTGAAGTGTTGTAACTTTTTACGAGGTGTCCAAACTTTAGATGTTGTTCTATGTAAGAACAAATAAATAATATATTTAGAGTCTACTCCATGAAACTCCAGTTTTTTTTATTAAAGGGGAGGCTTTGAAAAAAATAAATCGAATATACTTTATTATGTTTATAAATAGGTCAATTAAAGCGCTTTCTTTTTAGCACAATACTAACTTAAATAGAAGCTCATATTTCTCAATAAAAAGTTTTAAATTATCGTATCTTACGTCTCTCCTTGCTCCTATCTCTGCTTTGGCACCGGCCCATACACCTTCAATCGAATTGGTATGATTTCCATACTCGTCTATAAAGCTTCTACTATGATTAACTTTACTGTGTTTGCAGCGATTTGCTATAAAAGAACTTGGATGCGACGGATAATCGCCAGTTTTAATAATTGTACCTACTCTTATATTTCGTTTAATAAATACTGTAATTGTCGGAATTGTACGGTCTGGCAACACCTATAACCTTATTCTTTGTGTTGACTCGTATTGGATACCAATAACCCATTTCGTGTCTCTTATGTAGGGCGCTTCGCTGGTTGGCTGATATATTAGACTACGCCTACAATAAGCCGTTTCGTTAATTTGTACAGCAACATTTTTTTCTCCAATTTTCTCCTTTTCACCACTTATAACTTTCACACAATCAATAATTTTTTCTTTGATATAGATATAAACAGTTTCACTTACAGAAACAAGAGTCAAGACCTGCCTATTTCTTGGCTTAGTAATATACAAAAAGATTAAATGTTAATTTCTGCTCATTTTTATTTTAGGAAGCAAAGGGTTCATATATTTAATAGATGCAATAGATTGTTTGCATATTCTACAAAAGTAACGATATCCACCCAAATATTTTTACCCCTACTTAAAAAAAATCTTCTATGCTTGATATTTTATATTTTTAAATAATTTATCAACTAATCGTCCAATGTTTTTAACAAATTTAATCGCTTCTTAACTCTATAAAAATATTTCATAATTTTCCTCATAAAATGTTGACATACCCTTTCAACAAAAATTTGTTTTTATACTAAAAAATTAAAAACGGGGAACAAGAACAATAATAGCAAACGACTATAAACGACAAAAATTTCTTATACAAATATTATGTTTTAATCTCACAAAACCTGTTTTTAGTATGGAAATCGCATTTTTGTGGTTTACTCCATAAAACTCCGTTGTCTCCTTTTTTTATTATTTTTCCCCTCTGTTTTTTAGAAATCACAGTTTTATGGAGTAGACTTTAAAAATGTATATAAGGTGTTATAAAATACAAAAAAAATCTTTCGTTTATTGAATGACAACTTTTATAATTTGTAGAAAAAAAAACTGATATTAACTTTTAAACTTTAAACAAAAAATTTTTGCTTTGATGTGTTTTTCCAAAAAGCAACATATAGCCGTAATAAATTTATTTTTAAATATATTTCATATAGATTTTTTCATACTCATTTAAATAATCAGTGTAGAATTTTAAATGATTGATTATATATGTAATATTAACGCTTAAACTTTTAAAGCTTTTTTTTAGGTCAACCTTTTTAACATAATTAAAATAGTGGTCTTGATAGAGTACTTTTTTGATTAAAGTGATCATTTCTGCAAAATTTTCATTTGAAAATAATGCTGTAAATTTATATTTTTGATATTGTAATCTGTTAAAAAAATTAAAATATCCAATGATCCTTTTTTTTTTAAAAAAATTAAAATCATTAATAAAGACAAAAACTTGACAAATAAATTTTAGACTTTTTTCTACTAGAATATGTCGATGTCGTGGTATTTGTTGATATTTAAGATGTTCACAAATATTTGTAATACTATCTATAATTTTTTTTTTCCTATTGTAAAACTTACCATTGTAAGACACTCTAAACTTTTTTAAAAGATTAATATCATTATATGAAATATTTCTAGAATCTATAATGTAAATATTATTGAATTCAGGCGAGCTTTTAGCTTGCTTTAAATTAAAAAAGTTTTTTTCAAGTTTGTTAAGTAACTTTATAAGTTCTTGATCATCGCAACAAATTGTAGTGCAAG